GGCGTCATACCACCTTCCAAGGCTCTTAACAGGCTGGTCAGCACTGTTGGGATGGGCTCCTCTCCAATGAGAATCTGTAGTCGGAGAGCACTCCCTTTACAATAAAGATGCTACGTGACTTTGATGGCTTTATCTTCATTCGAGCCCAGCTGATGTTCTCTTCCAGTTTTCTGAGCAGTTTCCTGGTACATGGAGCAGTGGTGGTCAGTGCAGTGATGTCATCCATAAAGACTCTGAGGGGAGGAAGATGTGTGCCCGAATTAAGCTGCTGCCCACCAACTACCCATTTTGATGCCCGGATGATGACCTCCATTGCCATTGTAAAGGCCAAGGGTGAGATGGTACGTCCTGCCATGATGCCAACCTCCAATGATTGCCAAGACGTGGTAAAATCAGCTGTGGTAAAGCAGAACTGCAGGTCTTGGAAGTAGGATTTAACCAGAGTTATAATGGTGTCCGGAATGTAAAAGAAGGTGAAGGCAGCCCACAGGAGTTCATGGGGCACTGACCCAAAAGCGAGGTCCAAAAAGACGACATGGAGGTCTTTTTTCCTCACCTTTGCGGTCTGGATCTGGTGCCAGATCATGCTAGAGTGTTCCAAGCATCCAGAACAGCCTGAGATTCCTGCTTTCTGTACTGATGTATCAATGAATTCCTTTGAATGTATTCAGACATCCTTTTAGCAATGATGCTGAAGAAGATTTTACCCTCCACATTTAGAAAGGATATTGGCCGAAACTGGCTAATGTTCTCCGCCGCCTTCTCCTTTGGGATCAGGACCCCTCCTGCCCTACGCCATACTTTGGGCACAATCTTCCACTGCCACACCGTTCTCATGAGCTTCCAAAGAACCCTTAGGACATGCGGTGCATTCTTGTACACCTTGTGTGGGACTCCATTAGGACCTGGGGCTGATGCCGCCCTTGCCCGTTGTACTACCTTTTCCACTTCTCTCCAGGTCGGAGGACCAGTCTCCATCTGATGTTCTGGTGAGTTGATTCGTGGGATGTCTGGTAGAATGTTCATCCTTTCATGCCATCTTGGATCAGAGTATGTCGCTTTCAGGTGACCTTCCAGGTCTTTCCTTGCTGCCTTCAGAAATCCACTTTTTCCACTAGTGAAGAGGCTTTTCAATCCAGCTAATCCTCCTTTTCGCCACAGCCCCCCCTCCCCCCCATCAACGTGTCTACTGTCCCTGTTTACCAAGAGAAACTGCCTTGGTCCACCTTGCTACTTCTTCCTGTCGGTGTATTTTCTCCACCATCAATGGAGCCACCACGACCTTCAGTCTTCCAGGGAGCTGAGTGTTGTTGATGGCCTGGAGCCCACTTCTGATTTCTTTCCGCAGCTGCTGTACCTGATCTTTATCCTTCAGGCTGGCGTCATACCACCTTCCAAGGCTCTTAACAGGCTGGTCAGACACTGTTGGGATGGGCTCCTCTCCAATGAAGAATCTGTAGTCAGAGAGAACTCCCTTGACAATGGAGATGCAACGTGACTTTGATGGCTTTATCTTTGTGGCGAGAGGTGCGTGGTTTGGCGAGATCTGCAGTGGGAGAGCGGGGGCGAAGCCAGGCGGTGAGTAAGCGGGTCAAGTTCAAATGAGGAACACCTGTCTGTGATTGCAGTAATTGGCGTGAGGAGACCGAATATAAGCGGCCCGGGCTGACAGCGGGGGAGAGAGAGACTGGGAGCTCGTGCACGGTCGGAGAAGACGTGGAGATCGAGAGAGTGAACTCGAGCGAGAAGCTGTAGCTAGCGGAAAGAGTTGATTGTGTTTCTGTTTTGCTTTCTGTTGCTTTTATTTTGAGTTAAGCTATTTTGAGCGCCAAGGGCGCTGTAGGAAGAGTACAAAGCCTGAATAAAAGTGCACGAGCACCAGATATCGCCGACCCCCGAGCACGCCACCATCTGGTCCTCTGCCAACTGGATGGCCTGGTCCAGCGACGTCGGGCGGTCGCACTGGACCCATTGGACAGTCTTCTTTGGGAGCCGGGTCACAAACTGCTCCAGTACCACCTGCTCCACGACTCCCTCGACGTCGCGGTCCTCGGCCACCAGCTATCTGCGGCACGTGACCCGGAGCTGTTGCGCGAAGGGCCGACCGGACTCGCCGAGCTCCAATGACCGGAACCGGCGCCGACTTTGTTCGGGGGTCTGGCTGACCCGCTGAAGGATGGCGCGCTTCAGATCTTCATAGACCAGGAGGTTCTGGACTGGCAGTTGTTGAGCGGCCATCTGGGCTTCCCCCGATAACAGCGGGATCAAGCGCATGGGCCAGTCCTCTGCCGGCCATTTCCCGGCTGCAGCCGACCTCTCAAAGAGGTCCAGGAATGCCTCCGGGTCATCCTGGGGACCAATCTTATGGAGAGGCATGGCTGCGGCCGCGGCCAGCGATGTAGGGCTTTGAACCTCCCGGTCCAACCAGCTCCGGAACTGCTCGCGGTCCTCCTTCTGGTCCTGGAGGAGCGCCTCGAACCGACGCTGTTGCTGCTCCTCCATCTTGAGCAGCGCCTTCTGGTGTTGTTGATGGAGGCCCGCGAGCGCGTGGATGACCTCCGCAAATGGGGTTGGCATGGACTGTCTGGCGGCGGCTTCCCCTTCCATCCTGGGTTTCGGCACCAGTGTGACAAACGTTCAGGTTCAGTGTGGAATGGGGGTGATGGAAGGAGACACAGGGTCGGCGATATCTGGGGCTCGTGCACTTTTATTCAAACTTTGTACTCTTCCTACAGCGCCCTTGGCGCTCAAAATAGCTTAACTCAAAATAAAAGCAACAGAAAGCAAAACAGAAACACAATGCAACTCTTTCCGCTGGCTACAGCTTCTCGCTCGGGTTCACTCTCTCGATCTCCGCGTCTTCTCCGACCGTGCACGAGCTCCCAGTCTCTCTCTCCCCCGCTGTCAGCCCGGGCCGCTTATATGCGGTCTCCTCATGCCAATTACTGCAATCACAGACAGGTGTTCGTCATTTGAACTTGACCCGCTTACTCACCGCCTGGCTCCGCCCTCGCTCTCCCACCGCAGATCTCGCCAAACCACTCACCCCTCGCCACAATCTTCATTCGAGCCCAGCTGATGTTCTCTTCCAGTTTTCCGAGCAATTTCCTGGTACATGGAGCAGTGGTGGTCAGTGTAGTGATGTCATCCATAACAGCTCTGAGGGAAGGAAGACGTGTGCTTAAGTTAAGCTGCTGCCCACCAACTACCCATTTTGATGCCCGGATGATGACCTCCATTGCCATTGTAAAGGCCAAGGGTGAGATGGTACGTCCTGCCATGATGCCAACATCCAATGATTGCCAAGACGTGGTAAAATCAGCAGTGGTAAAGCAGAACTGTAGGTCTTGGAAGTAGGATTTAACCAGGGTTATAATGGTGTCCGGAATGTGAAAGAAGGTGAAGGCAGCCCACAGGAGTGCATGGGGCACTGACCCAAAAGCGAGGTCCAAAAAGACGACATGGAGGTCCTTTTTCCTCACCTTTGCGGTCTGGATCTGGTGCCAGATCATGCTAGAGTGTTCCAAGCATTCAGAACAGCCTGAGATTCCTGCTTTCTGTACTGATGTATCAATGTACTTATTCCTTTGAATGTATTCAGACATCCTTTTAGCAATGATGCTGAAGAAGATTTTACCCTCTACATTTAGAAAGGATATTGGCCGAAACTGGCTAATGTTCTCCGCCTTCTTCTCCTTTGGGATCAGGACCCCTCCTGCCCTACGCCATACTTTGGGCACAATCTTCCTCTGCCACACCGTTCTCATGAGCTTCCAAAGAACCCTTAGGACACGCGGTGCATTCTTGTACACCTTGTATGGGACTCCATTAGGACCTGGGGCTGATGCCGCCCTTGCCCGTTGTACTACCTTTTCCACTTCTCTCCAGATCGGGGGACCAGTCTCCATCTGATGTTCTGGTGAGTTGATTGGTGGGATGTCTGGTGGAATGGTCATCCGTTCATGCCGTCTTGGATCAGAGTGTGTCGCTTTCAGGTGATCTTCCAGGTCTTTCCTTGCTGCCTTCAGAAATCCACTTTTCTCTCTAGTGAATAGGCTTTTCAATCCAGCTGATCCTCCTTTTTTGCCACAGCCCCTCCCCCTCAACGTGTCCACTGTCCCTGTTTACCAAGAGAAACTGCCTTGATCCACCTTGCTACTTTTTCCTGTCGGTGTATTTCCTCCACCACCAATGTCTTCCTTTCTGATGCCGTGGCTCTATTCCAGGCTGGTGGCCTAGTTGTTAACCCAAAGCCTCCCCTTCCCTGCTAGACATGCCCCACTATGTCCGCAAGTCTGAGAGTGGCTGCTGCCTCTTCCACTGCACTGGTTGGTGTCCATTTGCGGCCTGCCACCAAGGTTGGTGCATTGTTACTCACCATTGCATCACAAGAATCCATCAGTGTCATCTGGAGTCTTACTTTAGCACATTTGAATTCCTCCGTGAAACTGGTGAGGGGCAGTTTGAGGGCGCTATCTCCATAGAGGCCTATGGTGGTTAGGCATTGAGGCACTCCAAGCCATTTCTTGATGCAGCCTGTGATTCCTCTTTCCAACTTCTCCACTGTTGAGATTGGGACCTCAAAAATGGCAAGTGGCCACAGCTCTCGGGGAAGAAGGCCAAACTGTAAACACCAGGCCTTCAGTCTTCCAGGGAGCTGAGTGTTGTTGATGGCCTGGAGCCCACTTCTGATTTCTTTTTGCAGCTGCTGTACCTGATCTTTATCCTTCAGGCTGGCATCATACCACCTTCCAAGGCTCTTAACAGGCTGGTCAGACACTGTTGGGATAGGCTCCTCTCCAATGAAGAATCTGTAGTTGGAGAGCACTCCCTTGACAATGGAGATGCTACGTGACTGATGGCTTTATCTTCATTCGAGCCCAGCTGATGTTCTCTTCCAGTTTTCCGAGCAGTTTCCTGGTACATGGAGCAGTGGTGGTCAGTGTAGTGATGTCATCCATAAAGGCTCTGAGGGGAGGAAGACGTGTGCCCAAGTTAAGCTGCTGCCCACCAACTACCCATTTTGATGCCCGGATGATGACCTCCATTGCCATTGTAAAGGCTAAGGGTGAGATGGTACGTCCTGCCATGATGCCAACCTCCAATGATTGCCAAGACGTGGTAAAATCAGCTGTGGTAAAGCAGAACTGCAGGTCTTGGAAGTAGGATTTAACCAGGGTTATAATGGTGTCCGGAATGTGAAAGAAGGTGAAGGCAGCCCACAGGAGTTCATGGGGCACTGACCCAAAAGCGAGGTCCAAAAAGATGACATGGAGGTCCTTTTTCCTCACCTTTGCGGTCTGGATCTGGTGCCAGATCATGCTAGAGTGTTCCAAGCATCCAGAACAGCCTGAGATTCCTGCTTTCTGTACTGATGTATCAATGTACTTATTCCTTTGAATGTATTCAGACATCCTTTTAGCAATGATGCTGAAGAAGATTTTACCCTCTACATTTAGAAAGGATATTGGCCGAAACTGGCTAATGTTCTCCGCCTTCTTATCCTTTGGGATCAGGACCCCTCCTGCCCTACGCCATACTTTGGGCACAATCTTCCTCTGCCACACCGTTCTCATGAGCTTCCAAAGAACCCTTAGGACACGCGGTGCATTCTTGTACACCTTGTATGGGACTCCATTAGGACCTGGGGCTGATGCCGCCCTTGCCCGTTGTACTACCTTTTCCACTTCTCTCCAGGTCGGAGGACCAGTCTGCATCTGATGTTCTGGTAAGTTGATTGGTGGGATGTCTGGTGGAATGGTCATCCGTTCATGCCGTCTTGGATCAGAGTGTGTCGCTTTCAGGTGATCTTCCAGGTCTTTCCTTGCTGCCTTCAGAAATCCACTTTTCTCTCTAGTGAAGAGGCTTTTCAAAAACTTGAAGGGGTCTTTATAGAACTGTGTTCTAGATCTTTCTTTTTTTCTCTGTTTTTCCACAGGTTTTTTTGCTCTTTGGAGGGATGCCAATCGGTCTTTCATGTCAGCTTGAAGCACCTCGATGCCTTCCCTTTCCCCCTCCAAGGCTTTCTTCCACTGCTTCCGAAGTTGCCTCTTTGTTGGATGTGGTGCTTGATCTCTTTTTGCCTTCTGGAGGTTGGCGCAGTTGGAGACCTTTTCTGGCTGTATAAACAGATACAGGTTTTATACAGGTATATTTACAGGTTTTATACACACACACACGTGTGTGTGTGAGTGTGTGTGTGTGTGTGTACAAGCGCAGTTCAGTGTGTGTGTGTGTATGTTGACGTGTACCTGCTAACTTCTTGTGTGTGTGTGTGTGTGTGTGTGTGTGTGTGTGTGTGTGCTCATGAACTGGTGTATATAAGCCTGGTTTGTGTGCATATGTGTTTCTGTTTATATGAATGTGGATACAGAAACAGTGTAAATGTTTTGTAAATTACTTATTTCTTTGTTTTTGTTTTATATCACAGGTCATCATCTGAAAATGAGTCAGATGAAGTCTGGGAGCCAGTCAGTAGAGGAAGAAATACTGAGGGTCATGACAGTACCTCATCGGAGGAAGGACCCCATCCTTCACCTTCCCTTCCATATATATATATATATATTCTTATATTAATATTCTAATATTAAAGTGTTTTAATTCAATAGAACTTGTTTTGTCTCTTTATTTGTAGAAAGTTTGGTTTCAAGAATTGAAAAAAAAAAACCCACTATATTGTTTTTATGCTTCCCTTACTATGTGTTAGCAATTATTGACAGTGAATCTGGAAGGATTATAATATCTCTAAGCGTAATGTTTCATTAGAGCCCAAAATTATGACTGTAGAGTTAAGCATTCATGAATAGCAGCATGTTATGTGTCTGTGGTAACAAAGGGTCATTTGGAGTCTCCAAGTGGCCTTTTTTTGGAAACGCCTAGACATACACTTAGATAAACGTGTAAAACATTCATTTTCTAATCTATTGTTATAAAATTTTAAATTGGGCTTGGTAATGCTTCATGCTGTGATCACACTGTGTTTTCCAGGTAATACCTCACAGCTATAATTATCTGCAGACATCCATTTACAAAAAAAAATGTAGGCGGAAATTTTTTCACCCTTTTTTAGTGTTTTCAAAATTATATTACCCAAAACAAGTAAGACTTACTGTGATTCTAACTGTTTAGGAACAAACCTCAAAGTGTCCCCTTTCAAAAGAGACCAAAAGTATTCAAATACTCCCAATGGTTCAAGAACAGCATGCAATTTAATTTGGATAGGTCTTTTTTAGGTGTTTCAGGCAGAATTTGCAGGCCTTATAAAAGTTTAAGACGTCGAAGCATAAAGTCACGTAGAGCGCTTCCGTCCACTTTTGTCGAAAGAGCTAACTTGAAATTCTATTTTAATTTTTGTTTTGTGTTGATAGACCAAGTAAAAACGCAGATATGATCATTTAAACTTTATATTTTTTTTTATATAAAAAATGTACGCGTATATTGACGCGTTCGTAAACGGTTTTTGAGACGGAGGCAACCGCCAGTGAAAATGAAGCAGGCGGCCCGCCAGCTGTTCGCCGGCGGCATCTCGCAAAAAATGGGAGTGACCGTCAGTGACGTGTTCGGCGGCAAACGTTTCATCGCCGCCAGCGGGACGCACCTAGCCGACAGCGTCGGGCCGGCGGCAAAAAGAAGCGGTGCGGATATTTTTTGCTATCTGGGTTAGCTCGTCATTGTTTTTTAGTAATTGAAATACTATGGTCTGTAGGCTAGTCCAGGAGCTGTTTAGCTGTAATTTTAATGTCACTATTAATCTTAAAATTTGAGTTTTGTATTTTACACCCGATATATAATCCGAAGATTATTTTCCATAAATGGATAATGACTGACATATGCAAATGTATGAGTGCAATTATCCATTGCAGATGAAATAGGCTATAGCTTTGGCTTTTTACTGGCTGATATCTGATGTATAACATTTCTAGTCATGAGTCAGCATTCTTCAAGAGGTTTATTGCAGCGTCCTTATTGCAGGCACTGGAACATGAGGAGAAGGATTGTATACTGCCCTCTGCTGTTTATTTCAACGAACAAATATTACATGGTTCACTTGTTAGGACCCATTTTATGCAGGAAAAAAACCTAAAACATGTTCAAATTGAAATAAAAAAAAATAATAAATAAAAAAAAAAAAACAAACCCAGACGCAAAACCAATACTTCTTGAGATAACAGACATTTTCCAGTAAGCTTGAGAGTGAAACATCAAAAAGTATCAAGTGAGATCATTTGTCCAAAATATAGGCTACACAGATGTGTGTGCACATGTTCAAATTTCAAGTGATAGCTTATTTATTTATTTTTTACCATGTTTGTATTATTTCCAAAAGTTCAAAAATATGCATTGTGACCCGATTGATAGGCTTGTTCATCTTTGCTCCTCATGGATGGTCCTAATGTGTGTCTACTTACACAAATCTTTTCACACACTTCACCCCATACCAGATTGCTTTGACTATTTATGGACCCTTATTGAGCTCTTGTGTACATGATGCATTTGTCTACAAGCTAATCTGAAAATGGTGTATTCTCCTCTACTTGATAATGGCCAGTCATGTGACCTGTGTGCTATAACCTAATGGTGTTTGGTGTCTGCTAAAAAACAAACGCATTTGTATCCTTCTTAATTTTAAAACACCACACACACACACACACACACACACACACACACACACACACACACACACACACACACACACACACACACACACACACACACACACACACACTATATCAATTAAATGTAATGTTAGTGTTTCATTTTGGATAATGGAGCTTTCAAAGGCAAATGAAAAATATAACAAACTCGTTCACACAGGTAAGACACTATAATAAATTCTAGATATAAAATAATATAGGCCTACATAATAATCGATATGAAATAATATACAATATCGTTTGGCTCTGTAGTATTCCTATGTTTAGAAATTAATTACCATGCGCGGCACACACATCAAAAGATGCCAAGGCACCGTCAAGTGACACCCATGTGTCCCACACACACCCATCATCTTCATAGAGATAATCGACTCGCACAACCTTTCCTTTTCTTCCTGCTTTCTTCCAGAAACAGACAAGCCTGCGGGTTTGCACAGGATCAGTTTCTCAGGTAATGGACTCATTTTTGTAAGCTGTCGCCATCGCCGTGACTTGCATTTTGTGTTTCCAGCGCGATGCTTTCTGACCGGTGGATGAAGTGATTTAATAAGCGGTAATAAAGGCGTCGTTAGTCTAATATAACAATGGTTCCCAGACAGCGTGAGCACATCATGTCGACAGGATAAACACGTCGTTTGTTGTTTGCATTACATGCCTTTGAGTTCGAGACGATAGGGAATGGTCATGTGCTTGTCAAGAAATGTGGTGTTTGGGGGATACGTAGGTAAAAATATTATTTGGGAAATGTCACTGAGCCTGTGTTAAGCAGCCATCAATCATTGGTATCGACATTATGTCATCTCGTGTGTTTGCAGCCGCTAAACAAATGAAATGCATATACTGCGATGCAAAGATGATCAACACAGAACCGAAGCAGCTACGTAGGTTGATGGGTCATTATGTGAACTGGTGGCGATTTAAACACTGTCAGACACTTATGCCATCACAAACTAAAACAATACATTTTAAGATGTCCTGGAATGTATGACAGAGTTGACATTTTTACAGTTAAATTGCTAAATTTAGTGAATTAAGGTGCGTCTTAGTTTGAACAAATTGATATTTCTACACATTTTCAATGATAGGTCCTTCGTGAAAAAAAAACCTGAAGGATGGTCATTGAAAAATAGCTAATTATCATATGAAAATAGTATATGTAGGCCTAGTTATTATAGCCTACATTATTTTGATTAAAAGCAAACTTAAAAAGCACTAGCTAATAAAGCAAGAAGAAATTGAGAGGAAGAAAAGAAAAACATTTGAAAACAGGCCATAAAAGGCATCTTTATGATGGAAAAAGGAGTTACTGGATTTTGTTGATGTATTTACAAAGACATTTAGACACATCATAGGCCTAAAAGATAATCAATTAATTGACAAGTTATTTTTAAAACATGTGCAATAATTTTACAACAAACCTTGACATTTCCTTATTTTAGGATAAAAGAGATGGTTTTAACAGCCCTAAAGATAAAAAAAAAAAACAGCACCCATACCTGAGATTGTTTAATTTATTATTATACATGTTATTATTGGCAATGTAATAATGATAATATCAGCTTAAAGCTGATGTCTCAATTTGTGAATTGAATCAAACCACTCAAGATGCTTATTATTGTTAAACTGTGTTTAGATAAATACTATATTCACTGATTAAGCTTTTTTAGGTCATTGTTGATATTTGTGTTCAATGGGTGGGCGTGTTTTGATGTTTTGTCTTGCGATGTATCAATGGCGGTCGGATAAATGACTGGTGCAAGTTGCAACAAGCCCCTTGAGTTTAAAAAAAACCCTTAATAATACTCTTGCGATTATAAGCAAGTTTTTTCTTAACTTAAGGACTTTGCAACTGGGCATTGGTGAGTAAAACGCGATGAGAACCCATGAGGCCTTTAAACATCTGCGCAATTTCAGCTTCTTATCTACAAAACCCCGCCTCAAGCTTCTCTCTGAGCCAATCAAAACAGGTATTCTAGCCGTTCGGTTGAGACAAGAACTTCTGTAACCAATCAACGGCGAGTATTCCTGCAGGGGTTTTGCCGCGAAGTAAAACCTTTCGCTAAGGTTGGGCTGTGAAAGTATACAGAAGTTCTGTATGCATGCATTCCCTGTAAAATGTTACGCGTTCGCTGAGATGGATTAAAACCTACCAGGGATCCAGACAGTAAGATCACAATTTTCTTCCGCAGTATTTTACAGGAAGGGCTGATTTATTTTCAGGCTAAAGCTGCAATGTCTGCTAGGTTCATGCGTCTCCATGAAAAAGCTGTGGAAAGGCTTTTCATGGGAAGATGCATGCGTTGTGTAATTAAGTCAATCCACATGTGTCGATTTCAATTTTAGTAAATCGTGTGTGCATTTCCTGGCGTTCCTTTTAGTAACGTTACTAGGTTTGCATTTATTTTACTCTTGAAATTGTTTGCATAGACTTACTTTTACACTCGACGTTTCAGGCAGCAAATCTCGCGATTAAAGATCTTTATTTCTATAAATTATATAGTTTGTTGTAAAATACATTGGTAACAAGCGTCTAAAGACACACAGACGTAGCCTAATCTATATTAAACACCCTAAACACCTTAAATGTGCAGAATAATTATGTTTTTGCTATTTGCTAATCATGTTTCAACAATACTTTGTATGTGTAATCAAAATACCATACACTCTTATGGGGTGACTCCATGCACACTTTATTTAAACAAAAGCTTTTTTATTCTACGTGGAGCGACTCGCCCCCTTATGTGCGCCGCCATGTTTACATCACGTGACCAGGAACAATTACAAAAAAACAGTAAGATTTGAAATTAAACTGATTCATGAACAAAACAAATGAAGTCAGGACAATACTATTTTTTTATATAAATCTTTTATTGGAGGATGAAGCATGTTACATTTTTTATCTTAAGAAACCAAAACCTTATAACCAAAAAAAAAAAAAGAGAGAGAGAAAATACCCCTCCCCCTCCCAACATAGTCATCCCACCCTTCCTGCCCCCCCAAAAATTAACAACATTCTGGGAGAACAGCTTTTTTCCTCTTCATTTGTTACACAGTTCTTCAAAACAGTTTACGGATCTACACACTAAAAACAAGCACACAACTGCATGTCCACATTTTGACCCCTATTGGTTAATAAGGCTTTAGACTCTCAGAATCACAATTGTCAGTAAGGCTACTCCATTCCCACCACCATCAAGAAGAGAGGACACAAAAAAAAAAAAAAAATGTCCAAACCAATAAGATTGTATGACGAGCAAGAAGTGATGTAAAAGCAATAATGTTCGATTGGTAAGGACAATACTAAATTACTAAATATTTTGACAAAGAGGACTATCTTTTTTGTCTTTCTGCTTTTTTTTTTTTAAAGTATTTGAAACTTCAAAATTAATTTAGCAAAACCATTAAAATGTTATTAGTTCACCCACAAATGAAAATTCTGTCATCATTTACTCACCCTCATGTTGTTCCAAAGCTGTTTGAGTTTCCTTGTTCTGTTAAACACTAAATACAATATTTTGAAGAATGTTGGTAACCAGACTGTAGTCTTGCATAGTAGGATAAAAATAGTACGAAAGTCAATGGCTACTGTCTGGTTCCCATCATTCTTGAAAATATCTTCTTTTGTGTTCAACTGAAAAAAAAAAAGAAATTGATTTGGAAACAGATTTGTAACAACTTGAGGGTGAGTAAATAACAAAACATTAATTTTTTAACTATGAACTATTCCCTATTCCCCATTACCAACTTTTCTCTTGCTAATTGTTAAGTTGCTTCTATTAATAACAATTATGGTAATTTTTATACTAACAAACAGCCCTGCCAAACACATGACCCTACCTAGTATACATTAGGAATTTATATTTACTTCTTTCAGGCAGTTTAATCTGAAATCATCTCTATGTTCTAACCCTCCGCTTTAATCTCTGTGTGTGTAGACATCTGCTAACCCTGTCGCATCCTTATGGATCCTGGTGAGAGTGATCTTGATTCAAGTTTTCCTCAGACAGAAAACCCCTGCCTCATAGTAGAGGACTCCCAGCCTGACAGTGTGGCCTTGGAGGACGATCCTGACACCAGCTACTGTGCCCTGCTCGCCCGTCGCCTCTCTAACCTGCAGCCCACTTCACAAAGCCCAGTGCTGGTGAGGAATCACAGGCCATAGTGTGATCTAAGTTTATTATTTTTCATAAAAACTCAGTTGATAGTGAGTCACCATGTATTTGCAGGAGCTGATTTCTTCCCCTACTAAAAGTTTACAAACTGACAGTCCGATTGATAAGAGTGACAATACAGCCCACCCGGGTAAGTTTATTACTTCATGGACGAAACCGTTCAATTATTTTTTGTTTCCAATACATTCTGACAAATGGGTTTTGATTAGTTTCAGACAATTTGCAGTCTAACCTGGGTCCAGCAGATAAAGAGCATAGTCAAGTTTTTGAAGTTTGCTCTCTTCCTATTTCAAAAAGGTACTAAAAATATGAAGCTTTTACATTTTCCAAGCAGAGAGAAATATTCTGTTAAACTAAAAGTCAATTTTTTTTTGTTTTATCTGCTATCTGTGTTTGTAATTGTTCACGCAGAAGTGTTACAGAGCACATGGAGTCTGAGGCGAACTCCACCACACACTCTACAGAGGCGCATGGTAAGATGTCTAACAATGTATGTCAGTGTTATTTTGGTATTATTTGAATACTATTATTTTTATTTATTAGTTTAATTGTATATACTAAGTTTTCACTTTAATTATAATTTGTTTTAGTCATTTATTTATGTGCTTTTGTCATTTATATTATATGTTTTTAAAAATATTTCTATTTAGCTTTAATTTTTTAGTTATACTTTTAGTCATTTTAGTACTTATTACAGTTTGTTTACCAGGGCAACATTTCTAACTTTAATTTTTTTAAAGTTATGTTTTTTATCTAATATTTATATTTTATTTCAGTTACTTTATTTACATTGTTTTAGTTGTAGCACGTTTCAGGTTAGTGTCACCATGGCCATTAACGTCAGAGTTTGCTGCCTCTCAACAGAGTGCTTTACTAATAAAATGCTTGGCTGAATAAATGAATGATTGTGTTGATCTGATCACAGAGATGTCTCAGTTCGGTCTTCTGGAGCTGTCGGAGAGCCAGGGTGTCTTTGAGGAAGATGAGCAGGATGGAGCTCCTTCAAGTCAAAAGGACAGCCAGAAGCCAGCCAGCCAATGTATGTTTAATATTTTGCTGCAACTACTTGATCTGCGGCCCATTAGTCAAGTTTTTTTAATGAGTTCTTTTAATTTTCTTTGTCAGGTGGATTGAAGAGTTCAGAAAGGACATCATCCAATCAGGATGGAAATTCTGCAGGGCAAGATTTTATTTTCTAAAGCAGTACTGCTGCACAATTAATCGAAAACAAGCAAGATTATGATAATGGCTTCCGTGATTCCCTAATTGTGAAAAGTATAGACACTTGTTTGTTGTGCGCATTAATGCATTGCTGAATCAGAGGCTTTAAATTAGTTTTCAGTAAGTCTGGAAAGTTGTAAGCAGTCTGAGAAATATCAAATGACCGACAAGAGACCATGATTGTGCAGTTAATGATAACTTGCCTGTTTTCCTGATGATATTGTAGGTCAGAGGTCAGTTCAAGCTGTCCTTCGAAGCCTCGGGACGGAGAAAGCAGAAAGCTCAGTATTCAGGCTATATTACACTCTCAGTTACCTGACAGTCAAGAAGATGAAGAAGATGTGCTTGTTTCCTCTCAGGATGATATGTTTGAAAAGGAGAGAAATGGTGTGTAGACTCAAATTATTCCCTTTTCTGTTTTCATTATGTGTTGTTTAATAGTTTTTGTTTTGTTTATTGTCGAATCGTGTTCGCTATAACAGGCACCAAGGCAGACAGCAGCGTTTCAGAGACCTTCAAAGAACACTTTCCAACATCCACACCTGCACATAGTCTTCGCTTGCTTCATCTGTCTGGACAGGGCACACTTGTACAGGAGAGTCTTTCACAGTAAGTGGTTAATCTTTAGCATGATTTATTGATCAAATGTTTTTGGTTAAAGGGTTAGTTCACCCAAAAATGAAAATTCTGTCAGTATTTAATCACCCTCATGTTGTTCCAAATCTCTATGTGTTTATTTGTTCTGCTGAACACAAAGGAAGATATTTGGAAGAATGTTTTAATCAAACAGATCTCATTCCCCATTGACTACCATAGTATGTATTTTTTTCCTACTATGGTAGTCAATCTGTTTGATTAAAACATTTTCATTTTTGGGTGAACTAACCCTTTAAGAATCTGTGCTATTTAAAGAGTATTGATCAATGACATGATATTCTAATGTCTGATGTAGAATATATGCTACATAATCTCACTTTTCTCTATGTAAAGTGAAAAAAAGTGAATTGTGGTATTCAGTAATTGCCCATTTTCCTTAACAGGCAATCTGTTGACTTTGTTGCTGCCACTCAGGACCATTTGAGTCAAACACCTTACATTGTCCCAAATTCACCCACAGAAAAAGAGCAAAGTAAGTGTTTTTCACAAACAGATGAGGCTTATGTGATGTAAATGTTTTTTTTTAAATACATTCCTGAATTTTTCCATTTAGATGATAATGAAGCTGTTGAATCCCCAATGGACACATCAGCCCCCCCTGATGACCAGCCACAAGGCAGAGAGGAGGAGCCGATGGACATGGACCCTTGCCCCAAACCACAACCCGCTGCCTCCACTCCAGTTTCCCAGAATTCCCCTGTATTTGTTCTGGAGAAAAGCCTCTCTGTACCCAGCCAGCCTGAATTCTCACATGTAAGCATCAGTTATTTAGACTAAAGGTGTGTTCGCACTGACTGTTGTTTGGCTAATTTTGTGGTGAAATCCAGCCATTTCAATAGGAATCCACACTATTGGGAATTTCGCAGTGAGGGCGAAAGTTTCCCTCACCCAGTTTACACAACAGGTTCGAGTTGGTCATGTGGATTTGCCAGGTTGAACAACAGAAATCTGGTTGATTTTGAAAGTTTCTTCTGTGTGACTACTTTCGACTGTAGACAATGGACCTACTTTACGGAAATTTCATTAATATGACCGCACCTTAACTTTGTGTTTAGTAAGTGAAGTTTCAATTAAATATCTCTTGCACATTCTTTCATTTACAATATACTTTCCATGTTTTCTCAAAATAGGATGTGTTTATTTCCACTCCAAGTCTTGAGCCTGGAAACAATAGTCAAGGGACTGAGAGGAAATTGTCTCACCAAAACAGCCCATCAGCAACCGAGTCAGCGTTGCCCAAGCAGAGTGGCCCAGCGGAGCAGCTTAAAGAGTCTTCAAGCAGCTTTGCACAAGCCTCTGAGGGTACCGGGTGCTTTCACTTGGAACTCGACAGTGAAAAAAGCAGTTTTACTCAGAAGACACAGTTGTTCATTGTGGAGGAGGATAGCCAAGCCACACAGATTGAGGAAGAGGAAGGAACTGTTGATGCTGACAAGAGTAACTCAAGCCTTAAACACCTTTCCCAAACTGCAAGCAAGAATGGCATGGACGCTGATCCCCGTAAAACATCAAATTCTCAAAGTCTTTCCAAGGTGCCTGACTCTAAAAGTACAAGTGCTTTACCTGAAAAAACAGAAGACTGTAACCCCTCTCAAAAGCTCTCACAGGCTATTAATGTAGGAAACCAGAATATAAGTGCTACTCCGTCCCAGCTCTCTGTCGGTGCAGACTGTGTTTCAGACACCCCTAATTCACAACATACAAGTAAAACCACAACCGCTGGCTGTTCTCAAATCTTACCATCAGCTGATAGACCTGCAACACCTGTTCCTGTCCCTCAACAGTCCCCGTCTCAGTCAGTCTTGACTGTGTCGTCCCAAAAGAGCACAGAGAATAAAAACGAACATGCTAGTCAAAGTAAGAATCTAAGTCAACCCATGACACACAGCCACAGTGTTACTACAGACAGTGTTAGAAATGCTGAAGTTGAGGAGCGAATGGATGAAGGTGCGATCCAGAATACTGTGATGGGTGATGACACTGGAATCAACCTGGCTTTGTCTCAGAGTGAGGTGCTTTCTCCAAAACCCATGGAGGGGGAGAAGAAGGAGATGTCCCAGTGTGTACCCAACAAAGATCAGCACTCCACCAGCAGAGAGGACTCCTTCAGCGTCATGGTGCTTGAAGAGAGCCAGAGGGTCTCTCAGGAGAAAGTAAAGGCTGGGAGGTCACAGCCATTCATAAGCTCCTCGCAACCTGCGAGAGGCTCCGTGCAGGACAAACGCGAGGCCGCGGCAAAGATCTCAGGGTCTCAGCCATTGGGATCTAATGAGGTTTCACCTTTACAGCTTGAGAGAACTAAGTTCATGAGCACAAAGCCCAGTGATTCAGGACAGCACAAAGTGAACTCTGATAATGCCTCCAACAAAAGTCTGAGCGACAGCTCGGGAGGTGGGATTAAGCTCCAAACAAATGATCTATTCTCCCTGTTGATTATGTAACCTGCCTTCAGTAAATCCAACTAGCTGTTTTCGTTTCCTTTCTTTCCTGTCCAGAGCTTCCGTTTCATTTTACATTGCCCAAAGAGGGTGAGCTGATCCGCCCGGCAGTGAGTGCAACTCCTCCACAGATTAGTCAGCTGAAAAAGACACCGAGGCACAGCACTCCTATTGGTGGGTGTCCCCTTCTTTTCGTTGCATAACATTTGAATAGATGTGTTTAAACATCTGTAGAGCTGAGCTGATGCTGCACACCCCTCCCTCTTAACTTCTGTGTTCTTGTCGTGTTTTTGTTGTTGTCTTCATGTCCTTTTGATGTTTTGCAGAGATGACCTCGTTCTCAGAGCCGTCAGAGGCAGACGTTACCAGGGAGACGACAATGGCAGCCAGTGAGATTTCGGTAGAGGAGAGCAGAGAGGTTGAAGAGCCAGCTGCAGTGGAGCAAGATGGGAAACTGAGTCTCAGGATGAAACTGGTGACCCCGGTGGAGGAGGGCAGCTCGGGCTCAGAGCATTTCAGCCTGCAAAGTAAAAGACAAATTTTTTGTTGTTATTTTATTTGCAGACGCATTGACGTATTCACTAGGGCTGGGGGATATGGCAAAAAGATTTCATCTTGATTTTTATTAATTTCAATTCTTTTCATGTTTAACTAGTCGACTTAAAAACATAACTACAATATGATTCAAGTAACATTCATTTTATTAACGATCTGGTTAAATTTTCAATTCCGAGTGCACCACATTTGAAGTGATCAACATGGTGTAAATGTAAAACAAATGACTTATTTGTTAAATAACTTTTCAGAAAATATGCAGAAAATATGAAGGCAAATATTGTACAAACATATCCTATATACTCAGAAGTAATATTAAATAAAATAAAAAAGCTAAATATTTCTTAGTCAAAAGGAATAGCAATAAATAACACCAGAATTAGGCTATTATTACAGCACAACAGCACCTTTCAGCCTGTCACCATCATGCAAACATGAATTATCAAACATACAATAGTAGTAGGTTTTTGCATTCCATTGCACTATTTTTATGTTTGGCTGTTGCTCTCGTGTCTTTAATATAGTTAAGATCACACAAAAAGTTTTTTCTCCAAATATCAGCATGATTACAAAGGTTAAATTGATTTTATACAACCGTTCAATAAACATTTAGTGACTCAAAGTTTAGACACAATATTGCCTGTTTTTGCACTATTTTGCCACCGAAAATAGTTCCAAACAAAGTCACAGGCCTCTCTTAGCAATGTTGTTAAAGGGTTAGTTCACCCAAAATCAAAAAACTCTGTCAGTAATTACTCAGCCTCATGTTGTTCCAACCCTGTAAGACTTTCGTTCATCTTCGGAACACAAATTAGTATATTTTTGATTAAATCTGAGAGCTGGATCACTCCTCCATTGGCTTCTTAAATAGTTCACTTTGACATTAATTTTTTAAATGTTTCAGCTTACCTCAAGGGCATCCAAGATGTAGGTGTCTTTGTTTCCGCAATATTTTCAATTTTGATATTTTTCAGTTAAACCGTTGTTGTCTGTCAGTCATATAATGGAGGTATATGGGGTCCACCTCAAAGAGCATGCACAGAGAAGTCAAAATTAAACATGATTTAATGACTCGTAAATGTAAGTACACATTGATGGCCCAAGACACGAAATGAGCGGTTTGTGTGAGAAAACGCAAAAAACCCCAAAAATAACGACTTTATTCAACTATTAATTTCCTTCTCTGTGGGCCTTGAGATAGTTCATGTAGTGTAACAGCGCAGTGCTTCTGTGTTGTACGTCACACGCAGACTCCCTATTGGCCAACGCTGTGATGCGTGTGCAAGATTATCTCAAACCAAATGCACATTATTATCATTATTTAATTATAATTATGAATTTTAATTATATTGTTTATATGTATTATATTTCATTTATATTTGATATTTTTAATAGCTTAACATACCAATATAAAATAAGATATAATAATAATAATAAGACAAAACATATATTATAATAAAATATAATTTGTGTATGTATTAATGATATATTTTGTTTTCTGTTATTTAAATTATAATTAATTACATCTGAACATTATATAACAGTTTTAAAAACATATGCAAATATATAATTATAAATATATTTTATCATAATATATAATATTTTATTTTAATAGTATATAAACAATTTTATTATAATATATAATCTTCGTTTCACTTTATTTGGATGGTTCCTTTAACACATTCTGTTGACTATAAGTAACGTTGCATCTACGTCTCTACTAACTCTCACTAGAGTGTTAGTAGAGAAGACTGGTAGGGTTAGGGACAGAATAAATTGACATGTAGTTGCAAAGTTACTTCTAGTCAACAGAATGTTCAAAGGGGACCATCAAAAAGTTTTACCATATCTATAATTTAATTTATTTTTATATTATATTTTTAATATAATATATTAAATAAAGTTTATTTTTATCTTTTTTTAAAATTATGCTTTTGTTTTTATTATTAAAATCATGGATTTATACTGTTCAGATGTAATGAATGAATTTTAATGTATTTTTGATGTAGTATAAAGTCAGTACTGGTTCTGTTTTTAAGTGGTCTACATCTTTACACTAGAACGGCCATGATGGTCATTTTGACCGTTTTGAAATTTTTATCTGTGATAACTTTGTTAAAAAAAAAAAAAAATCCTGCTGCTACCTGACTTTTCCTAAAAGTGTCTGTATTATTATTTAAAATGTTTTTAATATAAATCATACAAGGAAAAAAAAAATGAACATATTTATCTATTTCGGCCATAGACGGTCATATTGACCGCACTGAATATGACGGTATTCTTTTTTTTACATTTCTCGCGGTTGACTTTTGTCTGATAGGAAATAATCCTAAGACTCAATTGCAAAATGACAGATATGTTTATTGAGAGCTGTAGTTGAGTGTGCAAATGTCCGGTACAAAGCCCTTGGCAGCACAGGGATGCTGTGTGTAGAACCAGGAGTGCTGAACACGGATGGATGACACACGGAAAAAGGATACAGGCAGGGAACAAACACGCAGGAAACATCCACAACGGTCTGACAAAGACTAGGTGACAACAGTGACATTAAAAAGGGTTCGCTGATCAGCGGCAATGATCAGCGACCACACACACACTCACACACAACACAAGACGAGAAAGGAGGCAGCGAATTCATAAACCGTGACATTGTCTCTCTCACTGTCAAATGAATATCTAAATATGATACTTTTAGTTGTTGTAATTGTTCTGAGTTATGTTGAATGGATATGGTAGCCTATCTGTTGTGGATATTTTTACGGTAGGCTACTAATGATATTATTATTTGGTGTTATTTTGTTTTTAAAAGATATCCTAATACAATAAATGGATTAATCTCTCAATTGGGTATTTATAATTAAAGATATAGAGTTTGCAATCTATGGGTCAAAATGTCCGCTTGTGTCAGTTCTAGTATTTCTGTAATTCTGGCACTTCTAGTGTTAACCCATTAAGCTTGATTTTAATGCTTCCCCAGAACCACCATTAACAGATGAGGAAGGATCTGTCTCCAAGGCTACCACTGTTGCCATGGCTGTAACCAGGTAACCTGCATAGTTGCTATGCAGAAGCTTATCAGTGGGATGTATTAATTTTTCGGCTGCCACTCACAGCTACTGATTCACTGAAGTGCAGATCTTTAATAATGCCTCGACACTAGGCTTGATTTCATTAAAATACTGGACAAAACTGCAGATTCTAGTGTTCATTGCTATTCATCATGTTCATGGTTTTCTTCTCTTTCTGTCATTTAGTCCTTCTGTGTTTAGTCGTGTTCGGGAGGCCCACAGGCAGGTCCAGGTAGAGGATCATGCAGAGTCCAGTGACCCTCCCCTCAGGTACTGCACTACTCTGAAATGAGAATGCCACTTTTAAATCACCTCTTGCTGTTCATTAGAGATAAAAGTTGTTTATGCAGTACAAAGTAGTATCATGCTGGTTTGCCAGGTATTTTGAATTATATGTTCCCACAAAGCTTTACAATGAGCATTTGTGACTGAAAAAATTATTTTGATGCACTGTGTGAGTGACATCTGACTGACCACTAATCAAAACATGTGATACCATCAGAATACTATTGTTATTATTAATCCCTAATGGGTGTTGTGTGCAGTGTAGAAAGCCCTGAATTTAAGGCATAGTGCATCAAAACATATTGTTAAATTGATCATTTTTACAGTCTGCGAGGAGGAATGAAATGAGAACCACGCCTTTTGTGTCCTCAAAAATATAATTGGTGAAGCGCTGGGCTCTTTTACACACAAGCACCTCATGAGCTTGTGTTTTCAGTTTGCGGATAATGCTTGCAATGCAATTGTTTATAAATCTGTTGTCAACAGTAGAGAAGCTATAATGTCTATCTGAGTTTCTCCTCCAAACATCAAGGCCTGTGGTTTAATGGTTAAACATTAGGGGGAAAATACAAGACAGACATGAATACTTGTATTTTTTTATTTATTTTACTGTTCCGTAAAATAATAATTCTGTATATATTAAACGGTGAATTTATTTTACAGCAGTAATATTGTAGTAATATGTTCGATTAATTAGTTTAATGGTTTTAATTAATTCAAATAAAACAGTATGATAATAATAATCAATTATTAGTATAGTAATATTGAGCTATATAATGTAGTGCCATTGTGGCCTCATGCTAAAATGGACAATAAATCATAATTTAAGGCCTCCATTTAAAATTTTTCTCAACTATTTCTCCCAATTTTTTTTCTCTGCTAATTTGTCACTCTTGATAGTTTTCATCCCTGTTTCAGCCAAAAAATTCAGTCGTACTGTTAATATTCATTAGCAACCTATACTACCAAGTATTAAAGCATTATATAATGTTTGTTACTTAATGAAAATGATCAATAGTGAAAGTGTAATATTTGTTGATCAGATGCTCAAAAGTAGATCTGTGCTGCTGTTAGAGGGGTTTTTGTGCTCCTAAACAGTGTAAGCATAAAGCCCTTTCTCAAGTCTCTAGACTCTGCATAGGAATAGTCTTTGGCCCAAATGACCTTGAATCATTTTTTGTTGAGGTTATAAATAGATTTCCCCTGGTGTTGGATATATTTAGGAACTTAAAGTAGGTTTGATAGTGGCGCTCCTGCCTGGTCAGAGCTGTAAAGAGCCGCAACAGAGCATGACCTATTTCCACTGCTCAAGGTTGGGATGCTTTTTGTTTTGTCCTTTGTCTTTGGCCTGTGTTCATCTGGTGATCTTAGATTCTTGTTAAGAAACCATCAGTTGATTTGAACATTATCATTACAATGTTGTATAAGCCTGCACCATTAATTGAAGTAAAACTGAAATCATGATATTGCCTTTTTAATGCAAAGGCAGCGATTTAATTAAGTAAGGGATAGTCCAACAATTTTAATGCACGACGTGGAGGCAAAGAACCGTCAGACGTGTTGCGGAGCTTATACCATGATCATTTGCCAGCATTGACAACCTAAAGGTGTTATTGATATTTGCAATGCAAAATTTGACTGGAAGGGTAATAATGACTTGATGAATAATGAAAATGTTATTTTCATCAGAATCAGACACAGAGATAAAGTAGTACATATGATTACATTTATTTGAATGAATGAATTATAGCATTTATGTGAATTAGTTAGAGAGAGAGAGGGAGAGAGATATTGTACTTGCGTCTGTTCAGCTAGCTTCTCTCTATTAACAACAAAGCTGTGAGTTTAATTACTTCAGAATAGCGATGTAACCCTCACTTTCAGATGCGAAACTATTTTATTTCTAAAAGTCACAGGGCAGTGTTGATAAGTTTCTGTGCTCCTGAATGTTTGCAGCGCGATCTTTGCTCTCTGTGTGCGAGTGACGTTTGTGTGTGTGTGCGTGCTCTTCAATGAAAGCGCATTAATATAGAATGGTGAATAATATGACTTGGATATACCTGTGCATTGAACAGTTTTATAGCACACCTTCCAGCCAATCAGAATCGAGTATTCAGACAGACCATGGAATAAATAAATATATGTGCTGTGTTTTTTAGTGAAGTGCAGCACTGTGTTCTTTTACACAATGAGATCATGATCCATTGTTTTCAGTGTCTCAGAGCGGCTCGGTTTGCAGTTGCTCTACACAAACTCTGTCTTTGCATTTGAGAGTTTGGTTTGCAGGGGGTACAACAAACCACCTTCCCAAACTTGCAAGCTTGATGATAACATTTGAAAATGAAAAAATGAAGACAGCCATAAATATCAGTATTGTTATTTTACAGTTCTGTGAGATCTTAAATTCTCAACTATATTTTACTGTGAAATATTACAAAAGCAATATTTCTCATTTTATTACATATTTTTTAGTAATAATAATACTTTTTATATATTATCATTATTATTATTTTATAGTCATATTTATATATAATAATTTTGGTGAAATTGTGCAGCCCTACTACTAACAAGCACTGCAAACAGCTTTTTTTTTATCATGAAAAATTGCAATCGTTTTATTATGGGCAGCCAAGTCGTGCAAGTATTATTGTGCAAGTCGCTTAAAGTCAATTATGTTGTTCTTTTCTATCGCTAAGTATAACATTAAAATGATTAAAGTCATTTGCACTGTACTAAACAAATTTACTTTGGCCTTCACTTGCTTTTCTTTCCACTTCTCCTACAGGCAACCAAGCCAGCTGTTCAGTCCCACCAACACTAATGACTCAGGACTGTCTCCAAACTGCCCCAAAGAGACAGCGGGCAGCGTAACCTCCGGCCGAGTCACTGAAGCTGTATCTCTGCATCCTGGTGGAACGGGAGCAAACTCTGAACCTCTGGTCAGTGGTCTGTCCTCCCCTGCCAGGGAACAAGAGGTCCTCAGCACTTCTGACAAACCTCGAACACCTGTCCGAAAGAGAGCCGTGTCACAGCAAACTAGTGTGGATATTAGCTCAACTACAAGCCCACCCAGAAAAGTATGAAACTGGTTGGTTATTGTAGGATACATTTAATGATAAAGCACTTTAATATGTGCCATATGTAATATTTTTGTCTCTTTCGTTTTTTTCAGAAAGCTGTGTCTCAGCAAACTAGTTTTGATCTGTCTGGACCACATAACCTGTCCGGAAGGGTAAAAGTCTTCACTAAATAGTTATAATGTTTTTTTTTTTTTTTTGTAAACATGTTAAGCATTAAAAAGAAAAATAAACAATCCTTGGAAATTGCCATAGCTTCTAAGAAATCCAGTATTATTAATAAATATTAATTATTAAATAAGGATGTAGCTTTTTAGATCTATCTTCAAGTTTGATCTCACTCTTATAGGGGGAATCCAGTACGCCCACCAGAACCCAGTCAGGTCCCTCATTGCGCAGACATGTTCGCACCATCCAGGAAGTTCGAACAACGGTCACTCGCACCATTACAGATGTCTACTATGAAGATGGCAGAGAAGTTGACCGCAAGGTTTCCCAAGTAAGATGCATTGCCTTGGTTAAAACTGAACTGACCTAAAGAAAATAATTTAGTTTCAGGCATGATTAATTTATTCCATGAGGAATAGTTTCTTATAATTCAGAGGTTACTGGGTAGTATTTGGCTGGTCATGTGATCTCAACATGACAGCACCCATGAGGCGACAAGGGACCATCGTCATAGTGAGTGCGGTTCATGGTTGCATAGCAACGACAGATGCAAACAAATTTTCTGCGGTGAACCCTGAGACCCATCATGCTCGCCACAGTAAACATAACGAATGGCGACTGTAGAACTCAAAAGCTGAATCTCACATTTTCGGGCAGACTCATCACGGAGACTCATTAATCGCCTAGACTTGTTGTTTAGCTACTGCGCTCTGTTACCAGTAGGAATGGCCTCCTAGAGCAGCAAAGCAAGTACATTCTTGGAGTTGTTGTCTTTCATCCACATAAGCCAAAAATAAATGTTCTCAGTCTAGAAAGCTCCAAATTCAAAAATAATTTCACATTTCTTCTACATAAATGACCCATTTTAAATACACATTCATCTTTCCAGAGGTGAAGTATCCCTTTAAGCACATATTAGCTGTTAAACAAACTTCTTTACTGTATGTTTTCTCCAAGGAGTCAGAGGAACCCGTGGTGGACCGCTGCGTCATAGATAATGACATCTCCCCATCCCGCACAGGAAGCTCAATGACATCAGGAGACCTGGCTGATGTCAGTTCACTCTCCTCAAAGGCCCCATCACACCACAGCTCCAGTGGGATAAGCAGCGGGGGCTTGGGCCCCATCAGAATGCCAGATTTCCTCATGCCCGCCAGCCGAGGGGCCAAATCTGGCCGGTAAGAAGTTCTTCTGTTTCCTTTACTAACACTCTGCGGTTAACACACCAGTCTCCGAAACGATCACACTTGTAGGGCAGTAGTTGCTTTGAATGTCTTGCATGCATGTGATCGTCACAATGTTTCCTTCAAGCATGTTCACACCTTCTTGTTATTAGACAGACACGGTATGATTTTAGTACCCCCTCGTGGCTGCTGCTCCCATACACATTTGGTTGAGGGCGTTTCAGCTGAGCGCATCCTCTCCTTGTGTGTGTTTGAACCCCAGGTGGGGCGGGCGGCAGCAGCCGAGGACACACATTGTGGTGGTGGGGTCAGAGGTGACAGATGCACGGGGGTCTCGGGTCACCACCCAGCTGAGCCCCCGTGGCCGTGCCCGGCGAGGAAGGCCTCCTTCCCGCGGCCCGCTGTCCAGGTGAGGTGCTCCTGGGTAGGCTGCCAGGGTCCAAGACACTGTTTGTACCAACAGTTAGCCACTAATGTAAAGCCTCCTTATAAAACCACTGTTTTTAATCATCTTGCATGACTCTTGCTCTTTTCCCCCTCAAATGTCTTAGATAGTAGTATTAACTTAGCTCTTACTTTGTAGATAATGGACATGCGCTCGAGTTTACATATCTAATGGGTGTTGTGATACTCATGTTGTCACAATTTTCTCTTTTTATTGCTCTCTCCATCCCCTGCTAACACTGACTCTCAGAGGTGGCAGGACAGGGCAGAGAGGTGGTGCCCATGGCCAGGGTGCATCTTCCTCAGAAGAGGAGCCCTTTGCCCAAAGACATGCCCAAGCGCCGGGCAGCCCAGTAGAGCCCAGTGCTACGAGCCACTCTGATTCTCTCAACACCACATCCCCGGACAACAGCACTGGGTCCAGCAGTTTTGTTGGGTTGCGTGTGCTGGCCAAGTGGTCATCCAACTCTTATTTCTATTCTGGGAGTATCACTCGAGACCTGGGAGAGAACCATTTCCGCCTTCTATTCGATGACAACCAGGAGTGTGAAGTACAAGGAAAGGACATCTTGCTCTGCGACCCCATTCCTCTGGAGACGGAGGTCACTGCCTTGACAGAAGAGGAGTACTTCAATATCGGTAAGCAGGACTAAAAATTATGATGAACCATTACATTTATACCATTATGTATTCATATTAGAGCCCGACCGATAAAGGATTTTGAAGGCCGATACCGATACAAATATTTTGGGGTTTTAAAATCCGATATTCCGATATATCAGCCGATATTTTTTTATTTATTTATTTTTTTAAACTGGACATGATAGTCACAAATTTTGTCATGCTTATTTGAGTTAAGAGAACTGATGGGGATGTTCTTTTAATTGTTATTCAAGCAATGACCAACTCAACGAGTGTTGCCAACACGAACGGTGTAGAGTGCCCTCTGGTGGACAAACTATACAACTCCAACACTCATGACATGGTTCAAGCGTGTTTCGTCCGTTTTTATTTTATTTTTGAAATATTCATTTATTGGCCATTATAACTACCGATACCGATAGTTTGGAAAATGCCTAATATCGGCCGATAATATCGGTCTGCCGATATATCGGTCTGGCTCTAATTCATATACTACATTTTTATGAAATATGGGTCTAACAGTAGTTTTCAGGTACAGTATTTAAATAATCAAATGTAAAATACAGCTGCATAGTCTTCACTGTATAAATTTAATATAGATGAATCTTTATTAAAGTCAAAAGTTATTCAGTCAATAGCAGAGGTGAATATTTTTTTAATTATTTTTTTGTTTCATTTAATTGACATTAAAAACGGCAGCAGGACTATTAGGCTGCTGTCACTTTAAGACCTAATTCACAGATCCAGTACACTAATACACATGCAGTGTCTTTCTCGACGGTTTATGTACATTTGAGACACAACTAGCTCTGTTTAATCCCGAAAGACAGGCATGTAGATGAACACAATTTAGTATTTGCGCGTTTAACTGGCTTTCCGAGTGCCAGAATGTGTGGTTGAATGTTTAAATTGATGCGGCTTAAATTGATGCGGGGGGGGAGAAAAATGCATTTTCATGCATTATGAATTGCTTTAAAATCAAATCTCTGCGCTCTGATTTGTAATGGTGAAGATTCACACGTCTTCTTAATAATCTTTATTTTTGTGTGCTGCTCTGTGTCTCTGGTGATCAGGTTTAGTGAAAGGTCATAAGACTCAAGACTCTGAGTTCCTTTACTGTGTGGAGAAAGATGGTCAGAGTAAGTGGTACAGCAGAACATCTGTGATCCTCAGCATGGAGCAAGGCAGCCGCCTGAGGGAGCAGTATGGACTGGGCCCCTATGAACCATCTACACCCCAAACCATGGCATCTGATATCAGCCTTGGTGAGTCTTTAGACTGTTCTGAACACAAACATCTAAGATAGTATAATAGATAACACTTTACAATAAGGTTCATTAGTTAACTACCTTAGTTAGAGACTGTTCGTTATTTATTTAAGGGGCCACCAGAGGAGATTTGAGATCTGTAGTCAAAAAGACTTGACCCTCCCCTAGAGAGCAATATTTTTTTCTATGACCCTCCAAAAGGATTGTGAAAAAACACATGACCTTCCCCGATAATTTATTAATTACTTCTCTACTGGTTTGCGCTTGACAAAGATGTTCAGATAGCCATGATAAACGACTAAACTCCTGCTTTCTCATCTTACTAGGGCTGTAACGATAGACCAAACCTACAATTCGGTTCGTATCACGAGTTTTGATTTGAGTTTTTTTTTTTTTAAATCATGTTTTCGGTGCTGATGAAGTGGTGATGCGTTTATGTAACATGCAATTTTGCGCTCAAGTTGAAAGGCATTTTGTGCATAGTAAAACATATCTGCAACATTTATCAAGTTCACTGATAATTGTGCATGCATTTATTAATCATTATGATACTAAAATCATAATAAAGTAGTATGCTTCCCTTTCAATAGTCCAAATTCACGGCCATTTTCGTCTTTCTTCTGTGGATTTCATCAGCTCCTGATTGATTAAAATTCAGATAGATTGACAAACCGGCTCATTCAACCGCACAGCGCACACACCTCACGAATTCAAGCCTACAGCTCAGATGTACTCACTAACACTGTTCTGGAAACGCAATAAGAATGGAAACTAAAATATGGTTGTATCGTACTACAGCGCACATTATATCAGCTGCAGTTCGGGCGCCTCAGTCCCAATACACTCGACGTACATTCACATCACACATCACAGGACAATGCACTTATTCACAATAACAAAAGTTCATTATTTGCTCGTGCTTTAAAGCTTTGTCGGGTAAACATTTCTTTGCCGTTCTGTTCTAATGCACTTTTTCGGGGCGGGTACTGAAGCGCGCGCGGACTGTCAAACAGTGACATGGATTTTTGTTGGGTCAGACCCATCTGACAGCGATGGCCCGGGGGCCGAGACCGAGAGAGCTTCATGGAGCTACATGGAAAAAATAAGCACCAAACAAGCCACTTTGAAATTTACCTGTTTTGATGAATACAAAAGTTGGGTGACCCTCCCATATAGACTAAAAAAAGTTGGATGACCCTCCCCTCATCAAAGAATAAAAAGACATGACATTCCCCTATTTTCCTCCGGTGGACCTTTCCATAAATACCGAACGGTCCCTTAACATGAACTAAGAATGAACAATACTTCTTCAGCATTTATTAATCTTAGTAAATGTTGAAATTAATATTAACTAATACGTTATTAAAATCAAAGGTTGTATTTGTTAACATTAGTTAATGCACTGTTAACTAACATGAACAAACAATGAACAGGTGTATTTTTATTAACTAACATTAACAAAGATTAATACATACTGTAACAATTGTTTTGCTCATTGTTATTTAATACATTGACTAATGTTAACTAAAAAACCTTATTGTAAAGTGTTACCGTATAATGAAATTCTTGTAATTTACTAGCAGGACAATCTGAAAGCGCACCAGTTTTGTTTCATTTGGCGTTATTTGGGATTTGGTGTCATTTTGTCCTCAGATAACCTGGTAGAAGGAAAGCGGAGACGCAGAATGAACTCAAGTGGAGCAGGGACACCTACCCGCAGCTCCAGCCACAGCCCGAGAAACCCAGGGCCTTCTGGGAAACGAAAGCTCATCAGTGGCACAGAGGACGAAAGGACTCCTGCGAAGAGAGGACGCAGGGGGGGAGGGGCCACAGTGGGTACGATGCCCCTTGCAGACAGACTTTATTAATTCAACAATATGGAGCAAAGCATTTGTTCCATTTTAGCAGAATGTTTTATTATGTGCCTGATTTTATTGCCTAATTTGGTATTTTACTGTTATGGGTTTTTGCATCATTTTATTCATTTTAATGTCTATGAAATTATGTTGTAAAATGTATTTTTAAATGAACTCAAAACATATGAAAATGAAAAACCAAATGAGTGGCTTTTTTCCTCAGTGTTCTCGTTCTTGAATGTAACCGTCTGGTTTTACAATATAAAACGTCTGATAAACCACATGGAGATGTGATCAAATACTGCTTTTGATGTTTAATGGAGTGCAGATCTCCAGCTCTAAACGGCAACTGGTATGTGGCATAAGATGTATTTTGACTTTTGTGTTGGTGAGCACTCAGCAGGGTAGATGGGAGTGGTGTTTGTTTTTAATTCCTCACAGTTTGTTATCCGTTATGGGCTCTTTGTTAAACACCCAGTCTCAACAGTTAGGTTCAAAGTAGTGTTTTCATTGTTTCTAATTTTTTGTGTTTTCAACAGGGCAGCGTCTTGCTGCTTGTAACACATCTGGGAGTGGCGTAGACCTGCCCCCTGACCCCAATGACCTGGTGGCAACACATGGACCTCTGCCTGAAAACTCCACTCTCTTCATGGGATTTGTCTTCATGCTGACGGCATCCTCTGAAAACGACAGAGACTCCGACCACCAGACCAGCAATGAGGATGAAGGTGAGGGGTTAGACCGCATAAATAAAGACCGCATGTGTTGAGGGTTCATTGTTTATAAGGCTCTGTTATTTTGCTGGTGATATAAAATTAAGCATCATACAGCATGAAGTAGTAGCTGCATTTACATGAACCCTAATAATCCGATTGTAATCGGACTAGTAGCGCAGCCGGAATAACCACGTCAATCGAAACGAATTAGCCAAATTTCATTTGGATTGTAAAGGGTTGGTTTAAACCTTTTCTAATCTGTTCGATAGGACATGTAAACACTTGATCGGATTGGAAACCGAAACTGGAAAGTACTGCGCATGTACAATGACGTAGAAATGCCAGTATGACGTATGGCGCACGGAACGAGCTGTTGTTGTTAAATATAGTGTCATAAATGACTGTTGACATAAATGAAGTGTGAGGTGCTGCAGATGAATGTTTTCCCAGCATTCCTTGCTTCGGACTCTCATCTTGTAAGATGGGGCATTTGTTAGTTTTATTGGATTTAAGTGTCATGGCACAGAGCTTAATGTGCTATTATTGTTACTATTTTGATTTTTTAAAACAGAAAAGGATGATGTGAAATTGTATTAGTGCAGTGTCGAAGCATGTCAAAAAATTTAATCCGATTTAAAACTTGTGGAAAACGCACATATCATCCTGATTTTTATTTAGCATTCATGTTAACACTATGTTCGGATTCATCAATGAACAAGACATGTTCATGTAAACGTAGCTAATTTGCTAATAATTTTAAGGCATTGCTGAAGGCATTGCAAAAAGATTTTTTTTTTTTTGGAAAGACATTTATACTTTTATTCAGCGGGTATAAATTGATCAAAATTATAAATAATTTTATAATGTTACAAAATATTTCTATTTCAAACAAATGCTGCTCTTTTGAACTTTCTATTCATCAAAGAATCCAGAAAAAATATATATATCGCAGTTTCCATAAAAATATTAAGCAGCATAAATGTTTCTTGAGCTCCAAAGCTGCATTTTAGATAGCATTTTCATTCAGGTCAATCCTATGTTCTTAATAAGAAATCTGTTTGATGTCCACTGTGATATATTGTCCTTTTAACAGTTAATGGGTTTTCCTGTGCCCTGACTGACAGCACTAGTCAAAGCATTTGTCAGTTGCATCTTGCTCCTCCGTGTTCACAACAAATATCAATCCTTTCGATATAAAAGTCTTCTCTACTGACTGACTCCCTCATAAAGAGCATGTCTCTTTAAAGATGTCAGTCTTTGCTGCCATCTAATGGCATAATAATGTAACTTCTGTTGTTCATGGTCAGGGACTATTTTTTTTTCCAGCGGAAGAAAGGCTTTTATTGATTTTACTTCATGAAAGTTGCATTGATGCATATTTTTTGGCTTTAATATTTGTATTGTGTGGTAACTGCTTTATAAAAGCTTGTATACTCAAGGCTAGTGTTGTATCGTGAATAAATCACAGCTTTGTTTGCGTTGTGCCTACTAACTCCCTTCAGCCGTGACTTATTCACGATACAGCACAGCGTCTCGTACCTTGTTGCTTACATATATACTGTATACATGGTCCAGAACCTTTTGTTTTGTATTATTTTGTCACTTGTTAGACTGTGTGCTGAGAGCCGCATATAACAAGCTCTATACAGTGAGACAGCTGGAGGCGGGAGGAGGAATGATCCTGCTCGACTTTAATGAAGAACAGGTGAGCTCGTATATTTCAGACAACTCCTCTCTCTCCTGCAAGAGTTGCATGCTTTATGTATGTGTGTTTCCTGCATTGTCAGTGTAAAGCAGCCTATCAGAGCTTGCTGATTGCCGACCAGCACTGTCGGACCAGGAAGTACCTGCTGTGTGTGGCAGGTGGAGTTCCCTGTGTGTCTCAGATGTGGGTGAGGGACTGCTGCCAGGAGAAAAAGCTGCTCAACTACAGGAACTACCTACTTCCTGCTGGTCTGGGGCCAGAGGGATGCATTGTGGAGTGGTAAGAGCTTGTCTCGTTTGGATGAGACAGTCAGCCACTTTATTTATATAGCACAATTAAAACAACACATTTTGACCAATGTGCTTTACATAACTATACGATACTGAGAGCAATAAATCGCATAAACTGCTAGTCATTGGTTAAAAGCCATAAAACATGTTTTAAGGTTTGATTTTAAACTCATAAACTCTAGTAGCTGGTCTGATATAATTAGGCAAGCTATTCCAAAGTTAGGGAGCTACAGCAAATGCACAATCTTCTCGTTGTTTTAATCTAGACCTCAGAATTATTCTAGCTTTTAACTAGTGTATTTCAGCGTTCTTTGATACTCATTCAGGATATCCAGAGATAAGACCATTCAAGGACTTGTCTACCAGTAAGAGAATAATGCCAAGACACCTGTAACTTATTGTAAAGAGAGCACTGAAAACTAGAAATTTCTTAAAACTGAATCAAGTCAGTACTGTATTTCACACATTTCTTATTAATGTTTTTGAACTGCTCATGCATTTACTGTCACCATCCAGTAATGTAAATAAGTTAATTCCTACACGGCTGTAGACAATACTGCCCTTTGTGTATGACTAAACTGTCATGTCCTAAACGATAGGAAAAAATGTACTGAAAATCGAATCGAATTCAGACTGAACCGCTTTTTGAAAAATGGTGTTATAATTACATTTCAAACCACTACTCTTAATTAACTCTAAGCTTTAAAATCTTTTAAACACACTTAAAGGGATTATTGGACTTGTTTATTTCTCTGTATTGATCTGAATATATAATTGTATAATTTGCTTTGAGTTTGAGAAAGGCACATACATAATTTGTTGTTGAATACATTTGTTTATTTTTTTTTCATGGCTGCCTTAAAGCCTGGTGCTTGAATTTTCTTTTGTGATTGTTTTCTTGTGTTCCCTGTCCTCAGGCATCCTCGTGGGAACCCTTTTAAAGCACTGAAGGTGATGCTGATTTCAGAAGATCGTGTGGATTTGTGGACCTCTTTGCTTTCCATGGGTGGTGCAGAAAAAGTTCATCACCATAAAGAAAATGAAGACATTCCTGGTGGGTAACAGTACCTTTAGCTCTTCAGCAAAATGTAGATGTAGCTTTAAAGGTACACTTTGTAACTTCTGGCACTGCATGTGTCTTGTGGAAGGAAACATTGTAGCTGGAGCTACTTTTTGTTCATGTATATGATGAGTCACGCAGGTACTGGGCTACTTGGCAGCATTTGACGTCTCGCCGGGTCTAAAATAGTCCGAATAGAAACACTTAATATAGGCGTATCATAGTGATTCAGGACAAGGTTGTTTTCGTAAACGATCTAACTAAATCGATTGGTGAAAAACATTTTTGTAGACTGAAATAAAAAATGAAAAACTAAAACTAACAACAGTAACTGAAAAACTAACTGCAATAAAATGCCAAATTACCAAAATAACAACAATTTGGTAATGAGCAATAAGCTCTCGTCTTGTATCGGAAAAATGCATTTTTTTCCATTGGACTGCACTACTTCATTTTAAATGTATAGTCTCGAGTCTCGTCCATGTCTTTTTTCCGTCTTTCTCAGCAAAACCGCTTTCTATATATAAAAATAATTATACATAGTGCACACACATATATTATGTAAACACAAACTTTTATTTTGGAGGCGATTAATCGTTTGACAGCCATAATTAAAATAAATACAAATTAAAAATTCAAATCTATGTAAAAACATGGTTTGAAAAATGGATTCATTATATTATCATGCTTTATATTCTTCTTCATCCTTGAACCTAGAGTCTGCTCTTCCGATCATGGCATGCCATTTTGCATGAGTGCACTGTTTGGGTGCAATTTGCTAGAGTGCGCTCGACCGTGCAAAATGGCATGCCATGAACCAAAGAGCAGACTCTGCACTTCCAATGTACTCGCTCATTAAATTTTGCAGACTGATCTCATGAAGCAGCGTGTGTATGACACGCCAATTCGTATTTCCATTTTTGGCGTGCTATCAACACGCATAATCGCTTTTCAGCGTGTTTATGAACGCCGTTGACTTAACGTTATTACTGTATATAAATATATGACTTACCTCAACCCCGTCCCTAAACCTAACTGTCACTGGGGTTAATGGCATTTATGACTGTTCACTTACCATCCTAGGAAGAAAAAAAGATCGCTCCCCAGATGTAGATCTACATTTTGCTTCGTTTCGTAAGGACATTTGACTGCGTGTACTGACATGCGGAATCACTCGGACGTTAATGGCGTAGACATAAACGCGTTTATGTTTATGCAAAAGTCATGATGTCATGTTGAAATTTTGGACAAAAGCTACATAGTGTACCTTTTAAGTATGCACTAAAAAAAAAACTGGTGGCAAAGTAATCAGAAAAGCATATGGAATAACGTGATTGTCATTAACAGACATTACAAACATGAAGTTAGACCTGGCAGTGACAGCAACTGCATGTCCCTCTGAGGAACTGAAACGTGTGGCCCCGGACATGCCTGTCGTCTCTCTGGAGTGGCTGATTCAGAGCTTGATCTGTGGAAAGTGCCTCAGCTATGACAGCAATTCTGCATTCTGTCACAACCCGTCTACGTAAACCACCGTCCTCTGGTGTCTTCTCCCGTGTCTTTTAAATGTCCTCTGTTTTAGTGCATGCATTTTACTGTACATAGTTTTTATGACATAAAGAAATCGTGATTGTTCCACTTGTCGGTTTTATTTCATAACAGAGATTACAAAGCACATGGTATTTACAGATTTTACGTGTTCAAAGAATAGTTTTACTTTTTGTAAAATGGCATAGGGTAGTTGAGAGTACGGTAAAAGCAGGACACAAGCAGTGACATTGACAGGAGCCCTATCATATTAATTTAATGTACAAATGAACAAGTATTGTATTGGGCATGTTTTAAGATGAAATGCACCATTGTGTGAGGTTTGCCTCCGAGATCTTCAGGATCCACTTTATAGGCCAAAACTGCAGGACAACGAACAACATGTTACATTTTTGCATGAATCGGCTCACTAAAGCACTGCATCACTCATGCCTACCTTCCCAGCGTGCCTCCTGCCTGTGTGTAGTATTTGTTGTAGTCTAGTCGTAACAGCAGCTGTGCCAAGTCAGAGTTTATCTGGTGGTTCCGAACGCTGGAAAGAATCTTGAAAAGCAGGAACGACTGACGACTAAATCCCTGGGAAGTAAAAGTACAGCAATATCTATCAAACCTATTTCTGCCACATTAAAAACATGTTTTTAAATCATTCATTTTATGACAAAGTGTTGTTTTGAAGATTTTGAAATTATTACAGATGGAAGAATTTATGGAAGCCCATTTCTGCCACAAGAAAAAAAAACTTTAGGAAATCATAATTGTGACAAAGTTTGTTTTGACAGTTTTTCTTAAAAATAAATAAATGACAATTTCACTTAGCTCAGTTTCAACACATAATTGACTGGTCATGGTTCTGACTGTCAATTTTGATTTGAGCTTTTTATCTCGATTTAGATTTATGACTTACCAAAGCATGATTTTTTTTGATGTGGCAGATATTGACTTCCATAAATGTGCATACAATTCACAAAAGCAAAGTTACCTTCACAAGAATATCTAGCTGGGCTGTTCCTCTTTCATCCAGAGGCCCAAGATTTTGACTGACCAGGGAACAAAAGTTGTGACAAAGGTCCAAAATTTCATTTAAACAGTGAAACACCTAGGAGAGAAATAAAATGAATATTTAACCAAAAGCAAAACACAAAATCTGGGATACACAGAGAAATGTTCTGGACACTCACAGGCTTGAGCAATATGAAAGATTGTGCGAGAAGATTGCTGAGGAAATGGTCATGGGCCAATCGAATGCTCTCAAAGTCTCGTGTGGAGTTGATCTGTTGTAAGAGTTGCGAAAACTGAGACTCCAGAACGTCCACCTGAAGAACAATGCAAAATAATGATATTAAAATACAGTATATTCATTATTATTATGCTTGGTCTCAATTTGAATACTAAACAACAAACAGTATGCAAGATTAGCATGTTAAAAATATTATTGGTGTCCAGATGGTAGACTTTCTCTGGTGAATCTGTGTGAGTGTAAAAAAAAAATCTTAAAATATGTCAGTCCCATTGTTTAAGATGCACACCAATAATGTTTTTTTTTTTTTTTTTTTTTTTTCTTTCTCGAAGTCACATTTATAAAATCTACTTAAATGTCCTAATTGAATGAAGCCCTAATCCTGGTTTAATCTAAACCGGGCCATGAATGTTTTATATATATATATATATATATATATATATATACATATGATGCAATGTTGACATCTTAATAGGTCCCTATTAGTATGTATGTACACTTGGGGGAATCAGTAAAAAAATATATGTATACTTCAGCAAAGAAACATCAAATGGATCAAACTGACAGTAAAAGACCTTCATAATGTTACAAAAGATTTCTATTTCAAATAAATGCTGTTCTTAGCAGCACAACTGTTTTCATCATTGATAATAATAAGAAATGTTTCTTGAGCAGCAAATCATCATATTAGATATGATTTCTGAAGGATCTTGTGACACTTAAGTAATGATGCTGAAAATTCAGCTTTGCAGTCACAGGAATAAAATAATTTATTTGTATATAAATTAAATGCAGCTTCAGTGAGCATAACAGATAACATATTTCAAAAAATGTACTATTGACCTTTAAACTGTAGCGCATGTTTTTCACATCATCAGAAAAATACTTTTAGCAGTGTGTAGTCCATAGCCAAAGAGATGAAGTTGTAACCTGAAGGTAATACTGAAGGTTGTCCACTAGGAAGGCCATATGGTTGCGGAGTCTCCATTTAACTGCATCCGTCTGGTTTGATTTAAGATGTTTGCGCTGCATCTGCAGAGCCCAGCAGTGCTGCAGCTCGGACTGGACACGACGCACACTCAGCAGGTAACGAAACACTACGTTATACCTGAAACGAAGCATGGGTTAACCGCTGTGGTGTTCATACAGTTGATTAATGGAATAATAATATTAAATGGCTAATATAAACCAATGGCTTACTTCTCCAACACAGCAGGAGTGAAAAGAATATGTAGGGGCCATTGAACCTTGTAAGCCAATCCCAGCGCAGCCCAGCCAGTGGGCGGAGCCTCACGAGGAGAACTCTCCTGTGGAGGAGTGGTGCCCTCTCGATTCCCAGAAGCCTCTGCGAGCATAATTATAGAATTATGTAAAGTATTTAATATGCGAACACAGGGTTGGTTAGGGCTAAAAATGCTAGTCGTTAAGCAATACCTTTGCTTTCTTTCCCTTGGTAGTCTATGGTGAGATGGAGGAGGGGCAAAAGATTGTCATCATCTAGAAGCACTTTATGAGCTGCTTGCTGAAATGCCACATTGACATCTGAAACAAAAATAGCAAAATCAGAGGAATAATGAAGAGGATGGAAGAATTTGAAGTGGGTGTTTTTCATGTGTTATAAGAAAAATGAATCAATACCATGTTCAGTAACAGCAGATGGTGGGGTTTTCAGCATATGTTGAGCAAGGTCAATAAAGACTTGGTACAATTCACCTCGCCCCAACAAGTAAAAGTCCTTAATGATCTGAAACAGCAACAACTCATTCACTGTGAGAGCAAAAGTGTGCCAGCAAAAGCGGACCATCAACAAATCGCTCTGTTTACCTTAAGCTGCCCCAAAAGATCAGATTCCTCTACCATCAAAGTCCATAAGTGCTACAAGAAAAGACAAACACAATTTTCAATACGGACAATAACTGATGTTTTGTAGAGCTATTAGTGCGGGTGAATCTCATGAAAATATGCTAATTTTTCACCTTGAAAAAAAAGTTACATTTTGGCGTTTCAGAATGTAACTGTCACATTGTACAAGTTTCTGTGAATTTTCGGGGCGTGAAATTATAATGTTAAAATTTCCTGATATTTCCACGTTTTCCGTGACTGGAGGAGCTCTGCCATTGATTTAATGTTCTTTTAGATTCTCTTTACTAATACAATACACTATATTTTCGAAATTCAATTTTCAAACCATTTTGGTAACACTTTCTAATTAGGTTTCATTTGTTAACATTAGTTAACTATTAGTTAAAAAGAACAATAAAAATACTTCTTGAAAGCATTTGTTAATATGTTTAATGTTAAAGGGATACTCCACTTTTTTGGAAATGGGCTCATTTTACAACTCCCTCAGAGTTAAACAGTTGAGTTTTATAATTTTCGAATCGATTCAGCCGATTTTCTAATATTTAGAAGTATATCTTTAACCAGAGAGTTTTTTGTCCCATTGACTTCTATAGTAGGAAAAATATATACTATGGGAGTCAATGAAACCAGAAACTGTCTGGTTAAAGATATTCTTCTAAATGTCAGAAAATCGTCTGAATGGATTCGAAAACGGTAAGATCCAACTATTTAACTCTGGGGGAGTTGTAAAATGAGCCTATTTCCAAAAAAAAGTGGAGTATCCCTTTAATTTCAACATTTATCAACACATTATTAAAATTGAAAGTTTTTGATTTTGATTTGAATTGTCTCATGTTAGCTCAGATCCATTATATTGAATAATAACTAACATTAACAAAGATTAAGAAATACTGTAACAAATGTATTGCTCATTGTTAGTTAATTTATGAATCCATTTGTTAACGAATAGGAACTTATCAAAATATTTTTCTATGTTATACGTTTATTTCAAAATATGCATACAACTATTTAAGTATTTTGAAAGCATAAAGAGGCTGACTTGATTACACCATTCACAGATCTTGTAAAATAATGTCATAATGGCTTAAAAATGAGCTTCACTCATCTTGTGAAATATAACCCAGAGATGTTATAGACTAGACATGTTTCACATTTTGGGATTCAGCTTTAAAAAACTATTTAGTTACTGTACCAACCTCAGCAACTGTGCTCCGAATGCCATCCACAAGATTCTCAAAGTCCACCAGACTAAAGAGAGGCTGCTGTTTGAGTCTGTGGAGCTCTGCTGCAAACATGTCCTCCTGATGCTTCAGTATAGACCCTGAGCAACCACACGAGGGCAGCGTTATGAAACAAAACCATCACGAACACACCTGAACAACAAACCCAAAACGCTCATTCACTCACCAGCTCGCGATGGACTCTGGTTGTGATTTTCAAACATTTGCACAGACTCTCCAACAAAGAGGATCTTTTCAGCTACCCGAACAGGGATGTATGAGGGAAGCATCTCCACACGCAAGGAGAACTGCTGCAGAGAAGGTGCAAGCATGTTCTCTTCCTCAATCAGCCTCTACAGAGGGAAAGTAACCAACAGAAAATGTATTAATTGTTATAATAAATCACAATCAGTAAAAAAAATGCTAAATTTCTATTCATGTACAAGCCGAAAGAGTTTGGCTGGTTTGTAATAACACCGTTCAGCTGCCAACCTTTTGCTATTGATGGCTGTTTAAAGGCGGCTGTGTTTTTTGATTAGGTTTAAAAACAACAACAACAACATAAAAATAGCAAATATTTCATCACATTATAGTAGATGTTTTGCCAGGGAGCATCTATTTCATAAGTGTGAAGATAAAACTCTTTACATTCGATTATCATGAAAACAAATCTCAGAGAACGGTTGACTAGGTACCGATGTTTTATTAGACCAAAGGTTCGTTTTGCACCGGAAGTTCTCCCTTAACTATTGGGTGCTTACGTGGCAGACGCAAATGCAAGTTTCCGACTCACGTCAGATTTATTTGAATATTTATGAATGAGGCCTGAAAACGATCTGAGAATATCGGAATCCATGTGCTTTTTTTCCTGCTTACACATTCGTGGTGGGTCACATCCAATCTGTATTGCATCCTTAGTCTCTCACCAAATCCTGCAGCTCACGGAGCTGTTTTCCACTCAGCCCTCCGATACCCAGGTCCTCCTCCTCTTCCTCCTGTGCAGCTGTGGCTCCGCCAGCACTGGGACCCTGCTTGACAAAGAACTCCTCACTCTGATCCAGTAGCAACCCGTGCAGCATCCACGCAGCCAGCTGCTTATACATCACGCCATGGCACACTGCAAGAATCCTGGGAAACAGACACTACCATTAGAGCAGTAAAAATAGAATTATGTGTCTTACATTCGAGCCTTAGGGGTTTTTAGTAGGGTTTTTGAGAGCTCACTTCTCTAAGGCCGTCCTGACAGGAGGCAGTCCTCCACAGCTGTGCTTGTACACGGTTTCTAGGATCTGGCAGCCATGAATCTGTTGAAACAAGAAGAAAGTTTCAGAAGGTTATTATTTCCAACCATGCACTCTTCTAATCATTTACCGCAAACAGGTGGCATCCATCTAGTTACCAACCTTCTGAGACTTGATGGTCTCCACAACAACCATCACAGATGGGAAGAGAAGCTGAAACTGAATAAACTGCAAGTTAGACATATAGTCATTGTCCGTATTGAAAATATGGGACTTGGTTGAATTTAGTTTAAATCCATTTGTTTAATTATGTAATGAATTAAACCACTGTATGTAGGGTTTGGGTTTGGAGTCTGGTAAAATTTTTAAAAATCTTTTATGCTCACAAAAGCTACCACTCACTTTTATTAAATCAAAAATACAATAAAAATAGTTATCTTGTGAAACGTTTTTTGTTGGCAAAGCTTAATTTCAAGCAGCCATTACTCATTGATGATGGAAACCATGATACATTTCTTTCTAGGATTTATTTTAAACAGATTTTTTTTTTTTGTGCAACTTTATAACCTAAACGTTTTTACAGTCACTTGATTCATTTAATGCATCCTTGCTGAATAAAACTATTAATTGCCTTAAATACATACAACTATAGAAAAAAAAATCTTACTGACCCCAAACTTTTGACAGTTCCACATATTTCAGTGGATCAGGTGTTCAGGTAAAAAGTCAAGTTTTCTCTTTACCTGTTCCAGCATGTAGTTTACATGAGAAATAGAGAGGTGTGGATCACCAAGAAACTGTAAGAAAAAAATGTAAATCGTTTAATATTATCTGCAAATATGGATCAAAAAGCTCTATAATGACTCTCCAAATGTACAACCTCTTTTTCAAGGTCCAGTAAAGCCTGTCGATAGGGCTGAAGCATTGAGTTCAGTCCAGTGCAGAACGCACGCAGATAAATGCCGTGAAGCCCAGACTGACTCGGCTGGCTGGAGTAGTGCTCCTGTGAGACATGGAGAAGGAGTCACACTTCTGCCTCGATCTGATCATGTCCTTGACACACAATGAAAGCTTGAAGATTATGATCTGATTACCTGTTGGTGGACATGACCTGTGTGTTGCTCTATGAATTCTGTGAAGCGCACATAGTCAGTGCCCATTTTACAGAGCCGATTGAGGACACTGGTTTCACTGGGGTGGAGGAATGGAAGGTCCTGGGACACCTGTGATCAACAACACTTGATGCATCTTATTTTATACTGGAATTCAAACAAATTATTGCTTTTTTACATGGTATTTCTTTAAGTACTTCAGAATACCATGATATTACCATGTCTGGGGCATGTATGCAACATGGTATGGATTATTCTGTATACCAGTCATATGTAAATGCAATGCAACTTTAAGGGATATTTTTTTATAAATGCATTTATAAATGTGATACAAAAACTATTGACATGTTAGTTAAAAATATATTTTCCTGTTTCCGTACAGCCATGATGCAAATGCGTAATTCTGTATTGAGACATTACATACGTCAATGACAGAATACGGCATAAAATACCTGCAATCCATTCCGTTTATTCCAAGTGAATATGGTCCCAGGATATCCACTGAGAGCCAGAAGCAACTCATGGATCATTTTACCGACGCTGCTAGTCAGACAGCGTAATAAAAACACAGGTAATACTTTCTCATCATTATTTTGCACCGCCAAAACCCCGTCGCACGTTGATGACGTAAATCTCGAAAGCGACAGGGGAAGTGCTCAGACAGCTGCACTACAGTCACATTTAACTTAATTTTACTACATGCAGCTAATGAGGTCTTGTCTGCGGATAATATAGTTCGAGGTAAATCTTGTTTATGTTCTCTTAACGATCTGTTGCAGTTGTTTAGTGTGTTTTGCCGTTTCATTATTGTAACGTTACATACTGATTGGCCCTAGCGACTGCTTGGACTCATGTACGTTAATATTGGAGTCATTAAATCAACACAGGATGAGCAAAGTGGTCATTTACATGCATTACTAAAATGTTTTGGTAATTGTATCGTGATAGCCTGCTAAAAACTAATCTTTGCGATATTGTATGAAGAAAGCAAGCCTTAAACTATAGTGAACCAGTGTACCTAAAATCAGTGTACTGATGTTTATGTATGAGCTGTTCTCTCTGTCTGCAGATTTCCTATCTTGCCAACCACTGATGAACTGTTTGTTTGTTTGTTTGTCTGTCACTGGGAAACATGCCTAGAATTACAGCCGTCCTCTGGGCCTGAACCTGTGTTTGGGACACTTGCCATTTATGAACTTCTCAAAGTAACTTTTGATTGTTTTACATGTTTTCAGTGATGGCGGCGGGGACAGGAGCAGATATCGTGTCTGAGTTCCTCGGTCAGAATCCACACCTCGTGAACTGGGTGGAATCTTTAAGAGGATATTGTGAGACAAATAAACAATGGCATGCGAGGAGAGAGTTTGTCCTGCGCAATATGGAGGCTTTTCCTACAATCAAACCTGGGACCCCAAGTCCTACTTTAGACAGACTACTGTCTCTGTCTATGGTTTGGGCCAACCACGTGTTTTTGGGCTGTCGGTAATTGTCATTTTATCATGGACTTTCTTCATTTGTTGTTGTTTTCATGAACGTAAAAGGCATTTCGTATAATATCAGTTCTAAATGGGTCAGTGACATGTATATAATTTTCGCAGATCTATATAAATTTATTCTGAAATATACTACCCAAAAGTTTGGATTTATTTATTCATTTATTTAAATTAATACTAATATATAGCAAAGATGCTTTAAAAATGTTAAAAAAAGTGACAGTGTAAAGACCTTTTATAATGGTATGAGAGAAATGTATATTCATTAAAGAATTTCATGTTTTTTCACAAAAATATGAAGCAGCACAACCGTTTTCAACATTGATAATAATAAGAAATAAGTAATGGCTACTGCATTATATAATGGCTACAATTAAACTTTGTCATCACAGGAATACATTACATTTTAGAATCTATTAACTATATTATTTTAAATTGTAATATTTCATAATATTTTTTAAGACTGATTTTATTGATCAAATAAATTCAGCCTTGTTTTTCGACCCTAGACTTCTGAACGGTAATGCGTACATAAAATGGCTTTAAATAAATCTCTTCTGTGATTAGAATATTTTAAGTTTTCTATGAATTTTCATGTTTTTTGGGGAGAAATAAAGTCGAAAATGTGAATGTTATAGAACTGTCCTGATATTAAAATGAAGAATAAAAGAATGAAATTCTTGAAAGGAAAACATAGTTTGGCATAATTTTTATTATGATCTAAAATAAATTATCTATAGAGCATTTTTGTTATTAGTAATATTAATATTTGAAAAACGCTTACCAAATGAAAGTCACGTCACACTTCTAATACATTTCTAATATTGTCAGATGATTTTTGATTCTTGATTTATTTTTTTTTTTTAAATAAAGATTCCTTTTTTATTGAGAGCACTCTTATGTCGTTGACTTTAATGCAGATATCCACAGCCTGTAATGGACAAAATAAATGAGATGGCGGAAGGAATCACTGTGATTGAGGCCCCTGAGCGACGGACTAGAGATGAAATCATGGGAAAAAATAAAAGACCTGCAGTTTCAGGTAAATGGACAATCTATAATGTGTGTCATTTAAATAAATACATTGCTTAATGGGGAGCCAATACTATCAGTTAAAAATTAGACTCCTAATATAAAGTGGGGCCATAATTTTTAACTGATTGGATTGGATAAAGTTCAATCCAATCCAATCAGTTAAAAATTATGGCCCCACTTTATATTAGGAGTCTTTAACTACTGTACTGTACTAATATTTAAATGAATCATTTCATATAATGCACTTATTCTGTACATGCATGTTTTTGTTTTTTTTTACATTTTATATGCAAAAAAATACCTGCATGTATTTACAGCTATAATAATTTTTTGTAATTACATCTATATATATGCTTACACTGTTGACCCTTCTCTTACACTTAACCCAACTGCCCGTACCACCAAACCTGTCCCTGACCTTACACGTATCCCACCTCAGTTGCAGCAAAAGGTGTTTTGCAAGCATAATAAATACATTGTACCCATTTTTGTATGGAAGGATAGTAGTTAAGGGCACATAATATAGTGTGACCCAAATTATAAATACCTTGGCATAGTGCTAGACCATGAGCTTAAATGGGACATGCTAACGAGTTACAAGTATGAAGACACGACAGAGTATTCTTAAAGAAATTGCCTTCAAATCTTCAAATTAAAATCTCCACAACAAAGTTTTATGGAGCTTCTTTGAAAAGTGTCATGAAATTCAGTGTTGTTTGTTGGTATGGTTATGCTTCCAAAGTACAGAAGAAATCAGTAAGGAAAGTTGTAATAATGGCAAGTAATTTGTTAGGGAATACATCACATAGTCATGAAAAAAAGGCAAACAATATTGTGAGTGATAAGAGGCATCCTCTGGCCTTTTTAGTGTTATTATTTTTTGTATGCCAATTTATGATGCCTGTGAACATTGCTGAAAAGACACTTTCCCTACGGGGACAAATAAAAACTAATGTACACTACTGTTCAAAGTCTCTTATGCTCACCAAGACTTCATTTGCCTAACCAAAAATACAATAAAAACAGTCATATTGTGAAATATTATTGCAATTTTAAATAACATTTTTCTATTGTAATATATTTTAAAATGTCATTTATTTCTATGATGGCAAAGCTGAATTTTCAGCATCATTACTGCAGTGCAACATGATCCTTCAGAAATCATTCTAATATGATTTGCTGCTCAAGAAACATTTCTTCTTATATCAATGTTGAAAACCGTTGTGCTGATTTTTTGATGAATGTGCCATTTCTGATTAAAATTGTTAGGTAATATAATGCACACTGTATACAGTAATGAACTATTTATCATAATTTGCAAACTGTTGATTAAGTTTATAGTTGATTATTAGCTGATAAACTGTAGTTCCATTACTTTATCCTAAATGATGTATTTTAACAACGTGATTTAATGAGTATTTTGTATGCATTTCATAATGACAGCATTGCTATTTACTTTTTTTTATGTTTAGCTTTGGGGATAGGCTTAAAGGGATACTCCACCCAAAAATTGTTGTTGTTGCAAACCATTTTGAGTTTCTTTCTTCTGCTGAACACAAATGAAGATATTTTGAAGAATGAATTGAACTTTGGCACAATTGACTTCCATAGTATTTTTTTTTTTCTACTATGGAAGTCAATGGTGCCAAACAAAATATCTTCATTTGTGTTCAGTAGAATAAAGAAACTCATACAGGTTTGCAACAACTTGAGGGCGAGTAAATGATGACAGAATTTTCATTTTTGGGTGAACAATCCCTTTAATGTATTTGTAAAACATTTGAAGGAACGCTGAATATGAATCCAATTCATGTCCAATAAAGTTTAGTTCACAGCACTTTTCCGATTTTCAGTGACCTAATCTAAAGTTGGAAATACTGGTTAATAAGTTGTTAATAGAGCATTATCTAACTCTTTAAAAGTGAATTCAACAATAACACTTCGTTAATTACACTGACAATGCATGAAGAACTCACTATTTTATACAGTCTATTAATGTATTAACTATTAGTTTACTATTGATTTCTTTATTACTGACCACGTTTGAACAGTAGTATAATAGCTGAGCTTTCCCCCCTGTATTTTGCAGAATTGGATGCTGATTACCAGGGTAAGAAGGCTAAACCTAATGATCCAGACGTTAAAGCTCATGCGAAGAGTACTCTGAAATCAGGCCCTCCACCGGGGGCGCCCGCAGAACACCAGCCCTTTTTTAATCGACTCTACAAGGCGGTTGCTTGGAAGCTCGTGTCTGCTGGTGGCTTTGGTCCCAACCTGGAACACTACGAAATCTTGCGCAGTTGTGTGGAGTCATGCAAGGCCAGTCTTAGCTGTGTGTTTGTACCTCTCAAAGACATTCCTGACCTGCCAATGGGACGTACCCAAAAAGAAGGCCAGGTGTGTGAACTGCGCTGCTGCACCGTCTACATGGGTACGGGCTACGGGCGCGATGAGTGTGCCGCCAAGGCAATGGCCTCCAAGGAAGCACTCAAAGTTTTTCAAGGGCAAAAAGTGACAGTGAAAATTTGCCGCCGCAGGTTCCGAGGACGGGACGTTGACGATGTGGTTCTGCTGGATGAACAGTCCAGGAGCCAGGTCTTCCCTCCAGCTCTCAGCTATCCCTTTCAGGAAGGCCAGTAGAGCTCTATTCTGCTCAGTGATTTAGTCGGGGCAGCCGTGGAGACGTCCCAAAGATTTTCAGTTATGACCATTCTGAATGGCACTAAGGAGAAGGACTGAGTTATTTAGTTGTGTGAAAAAGGGATCTTAAAAAACAAGTGCTGGTCAGTTTTGTGGCTTGTAAAAGGGTTGCTCTGTTGCTTTAGAGTCTTGTTTATGGTTGTGAAGTTAATGGTTTAGATCTTCATTTCTGCAGTTGTAGTTCTATGAAAAATGTTGGCAGTTAAAAAAGTGCCTATTTTAATTAGTATAAATGTCAATAACTTTTGTTTTATTTATTTCTGAAACATGACATTGAGAATATACAGTTGACAGTGATTGGATTTTTTCCTGGTCCAATATTCAAAATAACAAATATAGTTAATAAAACAATAAAAATACAGTAAAAAATATTATTGTTAGCTTGATACCTAGATTTTACGCCACTCTGATTTTTTTTCTATATTTTCCCCTCGTTTCACATATATTCGTATATATGAAACATTTCTACCACTGTGACAGAGAATGGTAATGTTGCTGTTGTTGTGGACCTTTGGGCAGATTTTTTGAATGTCAAATAAAAACCGCCACCTGTGTCATGATGATTGTTGTGGCAGAGTTATCACTGAAGTGTAAGTGTTTGGTTTAATGTAAAGTTTACTTGAGGTTTACCTGGGGTTCATATGTTGTTTCTATCCCTCTCTTTTTGTTTTGTTTTGTTGTGACATTTTAAAAATAAACATTCTTAAGGTTTTGTGTTAATTACACCAGATTTATTTGTACTGTTTTGATAATTATTATAAGTTTTCCTAAAAGTGTCTAGACATCAGAGACCGGAAGCCGTAGAGATCTCAGACTTGATGGGGTGGTTCCAAATATATGAAGAGTTCAGATGCAAAAGCCTCTAAGTGCCATTTGAAATTTTCTTCTAGAATGATCATTTTTATCAAGCTTGTATATTTAAGTTCAGTGATTTCACTTAAATGCCAATGATAATTACCTATTAATTGTTATTTAAGTGAAATTACTGAAATTAAATATACAAGTTTGATAAAAATCATCATTAAAGAAGAAAATTTCAAATGGGATTTAGAGGCTTTTGCATCTGAACTCTTCATATATAGTATATACTGTGTGTGTGTGTGTGAGAGAGAGAGAGAGAGAGAGACGGGCTGTCAAACGATTAATCACGATTAATTGCATCCATATAAAAGTTTGTGTTTACATAATATATGTGGGTGCACTGTGTATAATTATTTTGTATATTTATAAATACACACACATGCATGTATATTTAAGAAAAAAAGTATTATTTATATATAAAATATTTATATATAATATAAATTATATATAAATCGATATACAGTATATACATGAAAATATGCCTTGAATATATATACAAGCATGTGTGTGTATTTATATATATATAAAATAATTATAAACAGTGCACCCACATATTTTATGTAAAAACAAACTTATTTTGGATGCGATTAATCGTTTGACAGCCCTAATTCAGATGTTAGAGTCAGAATTTGGCGTAAACAGAATGAGAACATGGATCCATCATGACTTGTTACCATTGTGCAGGCTGGTGGTGGTGTAATGGTGTGGGGAATATTTTCTTGGCACACTTTAGGCCCCTTAGTGCCAATTAAAAGCCAGCAGCCATATCACCCTGTAGCCCAAGACTGGTTGCCCACTGAAGCTAAGCAGGGCTGAGCCTGGTTAGTACCTGGATGGGAGACCTTCTGAGAAAGCCAGGTTGCTGCTGGAAGAGGTGTTAGTGAGGCCAGCAGGGGGCGCTCACCCTGTGGTCTGTGTGGGTCCTAACGCTCCAGTATAGTGATGGGGATACTATACTGTCAAAGAGCACCGTCCTTCGGAGGAGATGTTAAACCAAGGTCCTGACTCTCTGTGGTCATTAAAAATCCCAGGATGTCTTTCGAAAGAGTAGGGGTGTAACCCCGGCATCCTGGCCAAATTTGCCCAGTGGCCTCTGTCCATCATGGCCTCCTAATCATCCCCATCTATACCAATTGGCTTCATCACTGTCTCCTCTCCACCAGTAAGCTGGTGTGTGGTGGGCGTTCTGGCGCAATATGGCAGCCGTCGCATCATCCAGGTGGATGCTGCACACTGGTGGTGGTTGAGGAGATTCCCTCCTCTATGTAAAGCGCTTTGAGTGCAGAGAAAAGTGCTATATAAATGTAATGAATTATTATTATTAATTAGGCATTGTTTAAATGCCACAGCCTACCTGAGCATTGTTTCTGACCATGTCCATCTCTTTATGGCCACCATGTACCCGTCCTCTGATGGCTACTTCCAGCAGGATAATGCACCATGTCACAAAGCTCGAATCATTTCAAATTGGTTTCTTGAACATGACAATGAGTTCATTGTACTAAAATGGCCCCACAGTCACCAGATCTCAACCCAATAGAGCATATTTGGGATGTGGTGGAACGGGAGCTTCGTGCCCTGGATGTGCATCCCACAAATCTTCATCAACTGCAAGATGCTCTCCAATCAATATGGGCCAACATTTCTAAAGAATGCTTTCAGCACCTTGTTGAATCAATGCCATGTAGTATTAAGGCAGTTCTGAAGGCCAGAGGGGGTCAAACACAGTATTAGTATGGTGTTCCTAATAATCCTTTAGGTGAGTGTGTGTGTGTGTGTGTGTATATATATATATTGTATACAGTATACAGTATAAACTGTATACAGATTTTTGTGAGTTGTCTGGCATGACTGAATATATTGCTGTACGATTAAATCGAGTAAACAATGTCATTTTGCTCTTTTAATATAATATACAGCAAAGAGACATTTAAAGGCATATATATTTGAAAAGATACATAACAATTTGCATCACTTTGGTTTATGGCAAAATGTGTGCTATTTATAATTTGATATCTGTGTTTGATTATCATAATGGTGCATTATGGTTAAAGTTTAAACAGTTAAGCACTGTTTAAAAAGTTTTAAAAGTTAAAAGGCCACATATTTACTGTATTATAGAAATAAATACAAACACAAATCGACCAAAACTTGAGTTGTAATTAAGCTTAACTGTTTAAAATAAGTCATCATACAAACTGTTCACATATCTTATGACAGTTTAACGGTAAAAGGGAGGAATTTCCTTTCATTTGTTTATTGTGAAGCCAGAATCTATTGCTATTTCATCAAACCCTGTCAGGGGAGACTCGTGATGGACTTTCTTGCCAAAATGACAGCAAAGAAACGTTATATTTGAAAAGATTAAGATGATTACAGCTTGCAGCTATATTTTCAAATTTGTAAAAATGTTTGTAATTATTGTGTTTACATCACGTCAGTGCTCATTTGTTTAATCTCGTGTCAGAGCAGATCTAATAGTTCCTTATAAAGCAAATGACAGTTAATTATTACACATCACATACCGCTTTCCTCATAATCAATTAGCTTCCTCTCCAGCAACCTGAATACAATTACACAATCAAATGAACAATGAAAAATCATTGTGATATCTGAATATTAAACGGCTTAAACGTGCACAGAGGTTTGATTGTTATATAAAATGAGGCAACATCTATTTTTAAGCAGAGACGTGTTTGACCTGTTTCTCAATGCCAGCCAGCAACAGCAGACGCGTAGGCTATTTCGTGTCGCATTCCACTCTTCTTCTGCTGGCAGTGGCACTCTCTAAAATATTTACAAACATAAATGAACCTAACAAGAAGTGAAAGCGCCCATTTGAATGACTGTGATTGACATCTGAGGGAATTTGGATGTGTTTTTCTGCTTGGTCGGACGTTTGACTCATCATCTTGGGCAGAGCTAATCATGGGACAGTCTGTACTGTGCACTTTTCCTCATTCTCTCCTGTGAGTCAGAGGCTTTTGTCAGAAATGTCACATATTTTAAACCTTTGTTATAGCTAAGTTGTTGAAATCATGGATGCAGATGGAATGAGATGTGTGAGACAAATTGAAGAAATGAAAAACAATGGAAAACTTTCCCTGATACGTCATTATCATATTTTTCAAAGACTTGATGTATTGCTTCAAAAAGATTATTGGTAACACTTCACCATAAGGTTCATTAGTTAAGATTAGTTAATGTATTCACTACACATGAACTAACAATGAGCAAGGCATTTGTTACAGTGTTTATTCATCTTTGTAAACGATTTAAAATAAAAATACAGCTGTCCATTGTTTGTTCATGTTAGTTCACGGTGCATTAACTAATGTTAACAAATACAATCTTTGATTTTAATAATGTATTAGTAAATGTTGAAATTAATATTAACTATAAGAATAATAAATGCTGTAGAAGTATTGTTTATTTTTAGTAAGATAACTGATGTTAATTAATCAAGCTTATTATAAAGTGTTACCCTTTCCTGCAAACAAAAATTGCACAAAATCATCATTTAGGATGTGTTGTTAACCAACAACGTCTTCTTCTTTTTTTCTATTACATTTTGAGTGTTAAATGATCAAATAACTCGATTAACTCGATTGTTCTTCTGTAAAAAGTGCAGTGCAAAAATAAACTTTTATTATTTTAGAAAGTTGATTTTTCTTGCAGTGCATAATGTTTTGTCATGTGCATTGAGGAGTAAGTTAGGTGTCCATTTAATTTATATGCCACAACAAAATATCTTTATTATACTAGAGGAAACACACAGACTGCCTTAGAAAACAAAATTCCACATAATTTATTCAGGTTTAGATACACATCAAGAGCAGCAAAAAATGAAACAATCTGTTTTTCTCATAGCACTTCATAATCATAAAAATAGAAATCACATAATGTATAAATATCTGTAATACCATGTGTATATTTCCACTTCACAATCCATTTTTGTCTTTACAAACACTTCAGCAAAAAATAATTGCAAAACGCTCCACGTGGACAGTCACACATTTTGCCGATTCTTGAGCCTTTTCTGATGGCGCATTGCTCTCCAACGTCGCACTGATGTGAAAATGAAAGCAAATCGTCAGTGTTAGACACCTCAGTGTCAGCGTTTTGTGAATAAATGTAGATGGTAAATGTGTGATTTGAATCTAGACGAAATCCATTTTATTATTATAGACATAAAGTGTTATTAAATATCAAATAGTGACAATTCTTTTTTGTGCTATACTCACTGTAGGAACGCGTCCAAACTTCTTTTCCCAAAATGAGATGCGTTTACTCTGCAGTTTCTCCAAAACGTCATGCAAAGCCCCCAGCTGTGAACAGTAATGAATCAATCCAAAGTAAGTGTCACATTATTATTATTTTTTTTAAGAAGGGAAAAAAACATTTGTTTTCTATACGCAGAGAATTACGCAATACTTACGAGCTGCTTTTCGTTTGTCAGATTCGGGTCCTTTGGGTAAAAGTCTCTCAAAGCTCTCTTTTCTAAGTCAGATTCGTTGTCAAAGTCGATTTCAGCACCTTGAATGCAGGAAAGCAGCACAGCGCATGCCATCGCTGTCGTCCAGAGTTTGGAGCTCTCCATGGTCACAGCCAAGATTGAACGCGTCCTCGGCACTACGATTCAAGTAAACACTCGCTTCCCGCGGTCCAATCACCTTATATCTGCTCCAGTGACACACCACTCACTTCGGTCCTTCTTTTGCTCCACCTTACACATTGATTTTTGCTCATGCGTAAAAGGACGCAGACGATGATGACTCATTGCGTAAAGCTCCCGAGTTATGTCCAAAACAAGACAGAAATGCGCCCGAAGGGGATTTATAGGCTGGTCATTTCTTTTTTTGGATATCA